CTTAAAAAAACAAATAAATGCCACCAAAGAAAAGTAAAATAAATATAAACGAAAATAAATTAAAAGAAAATAGTGATAATAAAGAAAATATAATAAAACAAAAAAAAAATGAAGATAAGTATCAAATAATTGATAAATCATTTGAAGTACTTGAACCATTTTTTCAAAAAATAGAACAAAGGAAAGGATTTGGAATGAAAGAAGCAATTATATATCATTCAGAAATTTTTGATTTATATATTAAATTAGATACAGGGGTTAATGAAGAATTAAATAAATACATTAAAGAAAAAATAGAAGAACGATTAACAAAATTATTTAATTATTTTAGTGTTTTTGTGATGCAAGAATCATTAGATAAATTTGTTTCATCATTAAGAGATACACTTGATTTAATTAAAGTTGTGTCACCTGAAATTATAAGAGTATTTAATTCATATGATGAAAGTGTTGGAATAAATGAACAAGTCACAACATTAATGAAAAGCAAACGAATAGAATTTATTAAAAATATTAAAGATAGAATGGATATAATAGATAAATTAGTAGAAGTATGGAGATTATCAAGAAAAGGAGAGAGTGTTGATATTTCAGTTGTATGTGATGTTTTAGAATTTTATAAAGAGTATCTTCCATCATTACAAGAATATCAAAAAATGTCAAAAGAGTTTTATGATACTTTTATAAATAAATCAATTGAAGAATATAAGGAAATTAGTGATTTATATTATCAAAGTGGATTAAAAAAATATCTTGAATTATTTGGAAGTTTTTATTGTGAAGAAAAAGACAGAATAAAAAGAGGAAGAATAAGTAATACCACTGAAGAAATATTATTAAAAAATTTATTAAAAGTTATTAAAAAGCAAGAAAATAAAGTTAATAGTAGTATTGAAGAAATTGTAAGAGATAAAAACTTTTCATTAATTAAAAGAATAGATGAACTTTATATTGAAAATAATGAAGAAATTGTATTAAATAATACAGTAAAAAGTATTAAAAGTCTTTTATTAAATATGTTTATTGGTAAAATAAATTTAGAGAATATTAAAGAATCTGTAGAATTAATTGTTGAAATATTTAATCTTTGGAAACAATTTTTTCTTTGTTTTAATGGACAAGGAAAAGCTAAAATGGAAAATTTATTTAAAGAAATACTTATAGAACAATCAAATTATTTAAATGATAAAGACAATGTCATTATCCCTTCTTTATTCTCTCGTTATATTAATTTAATTATTAGAAAAAATAGTATGGTATGTGTAGATAGTGATTCAGTTGATAGTGCAATAGAAACTGTTTTTAAAATTGGGGAATTCATTGTTAACAAAGATATTTTCTGTCACTTCATTTGTAAAAATTTTATTGAACGATTAATTTTAATGAACAGTAATGAAGAAAATGAAGAAATATTAATGAAACATATGAGAAATTTTGATCGTCTTGGAGTAATGAAAATGATTAAAATTCAAACAGAATACAATCAGTCTATTGGTTATAGTCAACAATATTTAAAAGAAAAAAATTTAAATGATTTTAATTGTCTTGTTTTCGGTGGATTAAATGTAGATTTAAAAGATAAATATCAAATGAAAATAGACCCATTGACAACTGAAAGGTTTGAGTCTTTTACAAGATTTTATATTAAAAAGAAACCAACTCAAAAATTAACAATGTGTCTTGAAAAATCAAGTGGAATAGTTAAATACGAACAAAAGTATTTTATAACTGCAACATTACCTCAAATAATGATTTTATTATTATTTAATACTCATAAAGTATTAAAAATTTCAGAAATTGCTCTACACTTAAATCTTCCTTCTTCTTTTGTAAAAACTGCTATTAGTGGAATTATTTATAAACAAGTCCTTTGTCAAAACACTAATTTTATTGAAGATGAAACCCAAATCTCTATTAATACAAACTTTAATCTTAAAGTAAGAAAAATTTCAGTAATGATGGTACTGAAAAAGTTGATTAACCAAACCCAACAAGAACAAATAAAAAAAGATGAAAATGATGAAAATGAAATACTTAAATTGAGAGAAAATCTCTTAAAATGTACAATTGTTAGAATTATGAAACATTCAAAAATTATGAGTTGTCAACAATTAATTCAACAAACTATTACTGCTGTACAAAAAACTTTTAAAGCTCAAGTGAATATTGTCAGAAAAGTGATTGAAATATTGATTGATCAAAACTTCTTAATGAGAGATGGACAAGATATTCAATATGTTGCTTAATTTCCCTCTTTCTAAAACAAATAATATTTTTTTTATTAGTTAAATTATATTTTTAATTTTTTAATACTTTTTTAATAAAAAAAGAAACAATTTAGAATCTAATCTGTTTTAATATTGATTATTCTAAAACTAATTCAATTAAAATTAATGTTCAAGACAATCAGTCCATATTCCATCACCTGCATACTGAATTAAATCAATAACAACTCCTGAATTTTGTTTTTTGATATCAACAGCAGATGCTTTCATTAATCCAATGGCAAGAGGAGATTGAACTCCTTCTCCCATAATTAATACATAATTACCTGCAACAATATCATCTGGTAACTTTCCTCCAGCAGAAGTTAATCCTGGAGCCATGATATTACTTCCACTTAAGACATGTTTAATTGCTCCTTTATCAACTTGAACTTGTTTCATCATTTCAGGATCTAAACTATAAACATATATATTATAATTATTAATAAACTATTTAATCTAATTTTTTTTTGGGATTTAATTATAATTAATAAAAATATTATAAACAAACATGTCATAGCAAGTTGAAGTGTTGGATTAAAATTTTCTTTTTGTTGGAAGAAATAAACTTTATTATTTGATAAAATTGCTGTTGAGTGATCAATTTTTGAATTAGCTGTAAACATTGGAATGTTTTTTGGGAATAACTCATCAACAGGAAGTCCTGGATATTGAGTAGAAATACTTTGTTTAATGTGTTTTGTTTGTGATGCTTTAACTTGTTTTAAAGGTCCAAAGTCTTCTCGTGTAAACTTTCTAAACATTCACCTTTTCTGATAATTTTTAGGTTTTTTCTTTTAAACTTTTCTTTTTATGTTTTTATAGTTTTAAGAATAGTTTTTTCTTATAAATTTTTTTTATTGAATAGTTTTGATGCCATATCTTTATCTTACAAGAACTTGAAAGTGAATGTTATTGAATTATAGTAATAATTGATTTGAGATATGCTTTGGACAACTTTTTGTCAAAAGTTGTGAATTCAATCTCTGTTTGTTTTGTTTGACAATCTTCACAGAAAGTAGTCTTTAGAGTATTTATTAATTTTAATAATTCTTCTGATGTATAATCTTTCTTTTCTAAAAAATAGCATATTGGAAGTAATCCAGATAATTTGAAGTACTTCTTGTGGGAATGGACTAAGGTATTTAGAGAAGAAACTAAAGAGTGACAGTATAGAGGAAATAATGTATTTTCCATATAATGTATCCCATAGGAGTCAATTGCTCTATGAACAAATATATTCATGTAATGCTCTGCAACTGAAATACCATACATGTCTTTGATGTTCAGAGTTTTAAATGAATTTTCATTTAGTTTTTTAATACCATTCATTAATTCAATTGAAGAAAATTCACAATAATGGAAACAATGGGAATAAACGAGTGATAGAGTATTGGCTAAATGGATGTTATTTAATAAAATTGAGATATTAAATCCATCTGACACTGTGAGGTTAGAAATTGTTCTGTTAAGAATTACCTTTTCAGGGTCATAAAATCCAAGACATGAAGGGGCATAACCAAGACAACAAGCTGGAGATTGATTTATAAGAGGAATGACACATTGTATAAAAGGAAGAATTGAAGGCAAAAATCCAAAGTACTCATAAGAAGTAGTTATTTCATCTAAAGTTGATAACAAAGAAATAGTTGAAGGGTCAAATCCATATTGAACTCTAAGATAAATAGCATAACTTTGTATTTTCATAATATCTATTGGCGTTAATGATGTTTTTTGATCCAGATATGACTTAATTATTGATTTATATTCTTCTAAACGAATTCTTTCATATGGGTATAATGGAGGATTACATTTAGGTATTGAAAGAGGGTGAAGACTTTGATTGATGACTTCATCAATTTTTTTATTTGGCATTTTAAAGTTTGAAGTAAAAGGGATTAGAATCTTTACAATTTCTTGTAATACTGAAGCAAGTGATAAATTATATAATTTAATTGAAGGTGAAATAGTACGTTCTGAAGAAATTCTAATAATCATATTAATTGTTACAGCTGCTAAAATACATGAGAAACAATTAGAAACTTCAATCATTGATTTAACGTAATATGGCATTCTTTTAAATGAATTTTTTCCATAAGAACAAACAACCATCTCCATTGTAAATTGAATTTGTTGAATATATGAAAGCCATTCATGAAGTAATATAATATTCTTATTATTAGTATGAAGGTTTAAAAATAAATCAAAATCATTTACACTAATAAGGTCATAATATGATATAATAGAGACAATATTTTCATAGTACTTAGAATGAAAGGATTCCATTATTTCATTCATCCAATCAAAATTATATTTTGTATCATCACTCATTGGCGGGGTTTTATCTTCTTTTGAAACTAAACAAATATTTTGTAAATTAGGAAAACTAATATGACAATAATCTAGAATTCGTTGGATTCCAAGAAAATTATTTTTTTTTTCATCGTTGTTTCCATAGACTCCATCATATAAACTTTTAATAAACATTTCAAATGAGTTTAATGAATCATAAATTTCATTATCAGAAAGTTGAAGTTCTATTTGAATTTGATGAAGGTAATGATCTAATTCTTTTAATTCTTTATTATTTATTTTTAGTTTTAATCTACACTGTTCATAGAGCCCAATTAAATATTGAAAAGTATAACAATGGTCTTCATTAAAATCAACTAACTTTTTCTTTTTAGTTTTTATTTCTAGAGATTCTGTTTTATAAGAATCAACTAATTTTTGAATTGAACAATAAATACCTAACATCATTCTTATTGTACGTTCATCATCATAAGAATAATGATTTGTTTTCATAATTTTATCTAATTCAATAAAGTGTTGTTTCATCATTTTAATTTCAGTAAAGTGTTGTTCTTTAAATGAACCAACTAACATCATTCCTAATCTTCCAATTTCACAACTCAAAGTTCCTGGAAAAATAAGATTTTTATTATCACTATAGTATTCAATTAATAAATTATATTTTTGAATAAGTTTAATACATTTACATTCGTCATACGTCCTAGTTTTAGTTTCTTCATTTGAATTGATATAGATAGAAGTTGGTTTCATACTGTAAAAATTAACTTAGTGATTTATAGTTTATTTTACTTAAAAATAATAATAATAAATATGACTAAAGAACTAATTTAATTTTTATCAGAAGAACTTTCACTTTTGAATGTAGAAATATTCTTAGTGATGAAGAATGAAGCAATGATAATAAGAAGAGAAAGCCAGAAAATAATTGCAAAGATAAGACCCATCCATCCACATAATGGGAACATTAAAAGTCCTCCAATAAGATAGAAGACAATAAGAGTTGCTCTGTTATAACAAATAGTAATGGTTTTAATAAATTTAACTTTACCAAGGAATGAGAAGAATGGAAGAAGGATAAACATTATTCCAAAGATAATACAAAGTAAAGCCTGAAATACAAGTGCTAATCCACCTTGGGATGTAAAAGCAGGAACTTTACTTGGTGATCTATATTTAATATAGCTATTCTTACAATAATGAGTAATACCAGTAATAACCATTAAGATACCAGAAATGATGGTCCAAACGAAAATAACAATCTTACCAATTTTTGATAGGTTGATAGTTACCATTGTTTTTTCACTAAATTAATCAATTACAAGATGTTTTTTTTTTGAAATATCTAAAATTATCCCTTTTCGGTTTGTTCCGTTTATAATTCTAAATAAAGAGTTTTTCATTAGATGAGAGTTGGGAGATAAAAGTGATAAACTATTCTATTTAATTCATTACTATAAATTCAGAGTTATGAGAGATGTAAGAAAAATCTATTCTATATTAAGTTATAGACTTTTCTTCTTTACTAATAATTATAAAGAATAATATTTATTTTTTATATAGTTGTTTCATCTTTTTTATATTAATAGCAACATACTGTCTCTTTCGAAAGATTTTTAATTTAGGTTGCTTTTTTGTCGTTGATCTTAATTATAACTAATAATTTAAAGTTCTTTCTTTAATTTCCTTTTAATTGAAACAAAAACGTCAAAAGTAAGACATAGAAATAAATTTAAAAGAAAAGAGTATTTATGAAAGGTAAAACAAATTTTAAATAATCAAGTAACATTTATGTTATTGAAATACAAACTTTAAGAAGTTAGTTTATTTTAATTAAGAAAACAAAAAAAATAAAAACAAAACTCCAAAAGATGGAAAAGTAAGATGAATGAAGAGATTGAAAATTATTTTCAAGTAAGAGTTGATTCATTCCAAAAAAATGAGAAAACAAATGAATTAGTAGTTAAAATAACGGTAACTTCTGTTGAGTTAATGTGGAATGTTTATCGTAGATGGAAAGAATTTATTAAATATTTAATTTCTTTACAAAAGTTAACAACTACTCGATCTATTTTATTAAAAGATTGGTCAGAAGAAGTGGTATTAGAAAGTAAAGAAAAAATTGATTATTTACAAACATTAATTAATGTATTATTCTCAAATGAGTGTGTTCAAAGAGAAATAGAAAAATCTCAATTCTTTTTTGAATCTTTTCAGCCAGTGTATAGTTTAGTAAGTGTATTACATGAGGGGTCAATGAAATTTTGTGATTGTTTAGTACAAGACAATCTTCAATTCACACCATCTCATCTTGTTTTATCTCAAAATTATCATCTTTATTTTTACCTTACAACTGATGAATTTTCATTTCCAGTGATTGACATCTCATTACCCATTCATTCATGTGTTTATGTTCACTCATCACCAACTAATATTTTCCTTTCAATAGATACAAAAACTATGTTCATTCTTCAAATGGCAAATTATATTGAAGCAGAATGGTGGTCAAAATTAATTGCTCGTTTTCCATCATCTAAGTCTAAAATTCCAAGTCCAATTAAAAAAGTATTTGAATCAATATCATCAGTATCACATAACATATTTGCTGAATGTTGTAATGAGTGTAATCCACATAAAAAGAAACAATTAAAACAAGAAATTAAACAAACAATTCAAAATAAAAATGTTATCACTGCAATAAAAAAACTTAAAACGAAAAATGTTGTAGACAATGTTGGAGAATTTGTTGAATTATCAGTTCAAGCTATAATGGGGACAAACTTAGAAAGTGTTCAAACTACATTAAACAGCTCTGTTTGTTTAACCATTAACAATGTAATTGTAACTGAAAATAGGAAATTAAAAGACCTTGAGATGAAAGAGACAGATTTTATTAGTCTTCAAGCTGTGAACAAAGAAATGAAAATGATTTTATCTGCTAGTGCCTTACATGAAGAAGAGTTAAAAGAAATGAAAGAAAAAGAGAGTAAAAATAATGACAATAAAATTAATACCCAAATAATTAAAACAAATCAAATAAATGAAAAAGAAGGAATTATTTGTAATAGTAAAGAAAAAACTTTAAATAATAATTTGAATTGTTATCCAAATGAACATCTTGTGAAAATTTATTCAGGAATTCTTCATTTACATTTACAGTATAAAGCAGGACCACCTGTTACATGTATTGGACTTAAATTTATTGCAGGATCATTAATTATTACATCTGCTAGAATAATTTTTAGAGTAGAACAAGGAGATTATGATAATCAAGAAGATGATGGATTGTTTTCTTCACCTAGAAGAGTATGTTCTGAAGAAGGATTTGAAATACCTATTCCATTGTTCTATGAAATTAAAAAAGAAAAAGTGTTATTACCATCTATTGGGAATTATTGTTGTGTATTAGTTAAATGTAAAAATTTTCATCAATTTAGTTTGGCCTTTTTTGATGGAAATAAAGCTGATGAATTAGAAGATATTATTATGAAGGCAGTAGGGCGTGGAAGAATTCATGAAATGTTTTACTTTAGGGGGAATTATGAAAGTCCTATATATTATGACAAAGAACTTGAAAGATTAGAGTGGAATAAAAGTGGAATGAATTTAGTACGGATTGATGTAAAAGGATATCCAAATAAAGTTATTGTTCCAATTGCAAATGAAGAAGAAATTAATCAAGTTATTGGGTTTAGAAGTAAAGGAAGAATTCCAGCAGCTACTTGGTGGAATAGAGAAAAAGGTGTTATCATGAGAAGTAGTCAACCATTAGTTGGATTAAAAACAAGTAGATGTTTTAGTGATGAAAAATTATTAGAAAAAGCAGCTGAGTTATCAAAGAATAAACGAATTAGCATTATTGATTGTAGACCTAAATTAAATGCATCTGCTAATTTGATTAAAGGTATGGGATTTGAAGATATTAAATATTATAAGAATTCAGAAATTATCTTTTTAGATATTGATAACATTCATAAAATGAGAGAAAGCTTTCTTGAATTAACTTCTGTTACAAAGAAAATATCTTATTGTAATGTTGGAGCGACTGATGGAATGAAAATGGTTACTAGTTCAAAATGGTTATATCATATCAATAAAATACTTAAAGGAACTTATTTAACAACAAACAAATTTCTTAATGGAAATTCATTACTTATTCATTGTTCTGATGGATGGGATCGAACAAGTCAAATCGTTAGTTTAGTTGAAATTATTGTTGATCCATATTATCGAACAATAGAAGGGTTAGAAGCACTAATAGACAAAGATTGGATTGCCTTTGGACATAAATTCCAAGATCGGTGTCGGCATTTTGTATCTACTCAAAGTATTAATGAATACTCTCCAATATTTCTCCAATTCATAGATTGTGTTTATCAATTTATGAGAATTTTCCCAAAAGAATTTGAATTTAATGAAACTTTTTTGATAGAAATTATTCAACAAACTTATTCATGTTATTTTGGTAATTTCTTATTTAACTGTGTTGAGCCAATCAATCCTCGACCTGAATCACTTTGGGATGTATTAAATAATAAAGAAATTCAATGCCGATTTGTAAATCCATCATATCACCCTTCAACAACTATATTGAATCTTTCATTTTTGGAGAAGCAAACACCACTTTTATGGAGAAAATATTATTTACAATATCATAAATTTCATTCATTATAATTTAGTTAATTTTTATTATAATAATTATTTTTTTATTACAAAAATAATACTTCTATTTAAAGGAATTATTTGGTTTATTATAATTGAATAATGTTTGTATTGTATATATGATTTTATTATATTTAACTTTATCATTTTTTTAGTATTATAAATTAAATTATTTCTTTATGGATATTATCATATTCTTAAAACATAATAATAAAACATAAATACTAAATAACAAATTTTTTTTTGAAAAAACAAAATTTTATTAGTTAAAAAATAAAATGAATGTTTCCTTCATAAAAACTAAGTTATTAATTAAACTAATTAATGGACAAAGAAACCACATCTATACTTTCACCATACAACGAAGAAGAAAAAAGGATTTTAATTAATACAGATTGTAAAAATTCATTTTATTCATTATATCACGAAACTCCACCACGTTCAAAGCATTGGTGCCATTCTCATTGTCTTCTTGGAGGTGGGTTTTATAAAAATTTTTTTTCAATGGCATTATTCTTTTTTCCCACTGTTTTGTACTGTATTTCAACGTTTGTATTTTAATTCTTTATTCAAAAGAACAACTAAATTTTATTTTTAGAATTCCAAGTTTCTATAGAGTGTATCCAATGTTGATTGTTCCATTTTTACTTTTATTTATTATTGTTTGTATCTTTTATTTCAAAACATGTTATTCAAATCCAGGAATTATTCCAAGAAAATATAGAATTGGTAATGGGAATTATGAATTAAATAATTCAAAAATTAATGTGATATTACCAGATAATATTGTTGCATCAAGGAAATTTTGTATAACATGTTTAATCAATAAACCATTGAGATGTTCTCATTGTAGAATCTGTAATAATTGTGTTGAAGAATTTGATCATCATTGTCCATGGTTAGGAAATTGTATTGGAAGAAGAAATTATAAATCATATATAGGAATAGTATTCTTTTGTTCTGTATATTTATTTTATTTAATTATAACATCTTTCATAAGTCTTTTTATTGGGATTCAATATCCATTGACTTGGACAAGTTTTTTTGATAGTTGGAAATCTCATTGGTTTGTAGAGTTTGTTTCAAATAATTTATTCTTTATTTATTTTTTTTCAAATACTCAATAATTAGACCATTAACATGTATTTATTGTGTTCCTTGTTTTGGACTTGTTTTTACATTACTTTTATTTCATATATATCAAATATCAAGAGGAATTACAACGAATGAAAGAATTAAAAAGAGATATATTTATAATCAAGGATTTATCAAAAATTGGATTAAATTTCTATTTAGACCTATTCCACCAATTTATCCTTTATTTAAAAATATTTTCAAATAAAAAGAGTAGAAATATAATTTAAAAGTAACTTAAATTATTAATTAGTGTTTGAATGTTTTTTGTGTAATGATTCTTTACATAAGAAATAATCAGAAAAATTAATTGGTTGTTTAACAAACACTGTAAAATCACATTCAATTCCTTTTGCCCATTGAGGAACAACAAATTTATTTGATGTTGCACCACCAATAGTTTTTTTCTTTGGATTTAATACTTTTTTACCATTTAAAGTAATAAATGTTTGTTCACTTATATTATCACCACCATTAGATTCAGAATCCATTTCAATTTCATTATTATTAAAAGTACCTTCTGGTACTTCTACTTTTTTACTACTTTGAAGGGCCTTTGTTTTTTTATCTAAAATATCAGTAGTTTCATCTATTCTAGTAAGAGTTTCACAAAGCATATCATGTCTAAGTGTTTTCCAATCTTTAGTAATTATAGGTTTAAACACTCTACAAATTCTATTTAACTTATCTACAATTGAACGATCTTCTCCTATTAAGGAACTATTTTCTAAATTATTCATAATAACAAATACTGTAGAATATAATCTCTTTTCTTCAAAAATAGGAATTAATTCATCTAATCTATTTCTATTCAAAAATTGATTAATTAAGAAATCATTATGAATTGGTAATGATGGAATTTTTTTATTAAGTTTTAATACAGTAGTAATTGCCATAGAAATATTAAGTTTATTTACTTTATATTTTGTAATTTGTGCATCAACTTTCTTAAACCAAGGATATGTACTATCATGAATATCTATTAATCGTTTTCTATTTAATGATGTTGGTTTTAAACGAGAAAAATTATGTACACAAATTTCTACACGACTTTTATAATTTTCATCTGATTTTCTTATTTTTTCTATTTCTTTCATTGAATTAAAGAATTTATCATGTTTTGGAACCATCATTAATACATGATAATAAACTACATTTTGAACTGAATTGAAAAATGATTGAAAATGATAATCAATTCCTAATGGAATTGTATCTACTGGATAAAATAATATAATCCCATTTGTTTCTAATGATAAAGCAGCTTTTTTTCTTTCAGATAAAATAGATGCATATTGTAAGGCAGGTCCACATCCATGAGAATATCCAAGAAGAAGAGTTCTATCTTCTCTATATCCTTTATGTGCCATTACATCAAAAATACTATCAAGCATCTTTTCCATTGAAACATCTTTTTTATTTTTATTTAATCCATATCCTGGATAATCAAATGCAATAATACGTGCTTTAAACATTTTACTTACCATTACCATTTCATCTTCAATGTCTTTAAGGTCTTTTTCAGAACTGTGAAATACAAAAAGAGAGAAATTATATGGATTGCTATTTAAATTAATATTAAAACGGGGTTTTATTTTATTTCCTTTCTTCTTTATTTTTATAAATAGAAATAACAAACATCTTAGTTAACATAAATCTTACTGGAATAGGTTCACCTTCAGGAAATGGTGCCATTACTAGTCCTTTTAATGACTCATCATAATTACATTGTTTAGGTGGATGATCTAATAGGTATTTATATTGTTCAGACATGAAATAAGACAGAATTTTAGTTTTTTCTCCTTTTTATTTTTAACTTTTCCTTTGAAAAACTTGAAATCTATTTTTAATTTGTTAAAAAAAGGAAATAATAAAAAAATTGAACAATAATATTTTGTTATTCATGATATTCTCTTAATTTATCTAATACACTCTTATCAAAGCAAGGTAAATTTGTTAAGTAGGAATGCAACGGTTCTATTTTTGCAATGTAATAATCTTCTTTTTGATATTTTAAATAATCCATTACAACATCATAAATTTCTTTTGATTGAACAAAATTTATAAGTTTTTCATCTTCTCCTTTCTGTTGATAAAAGAAAGGTTCTTCACGTTTTATTTCTTCAATTGACTCTAGTACTGAACCAATATATGGAATACAAAGTGATCGTTTTTTATATGATACCTTAAGATTTTTAAAATTTCCATATAATTTACTAGTCTCATCAATAAATTTATTTGCTTTTTCTGAAATGTATTTTGTTCCAAAAACAATAGAGATATGAAGTAATCCATCAAATATTCCAAATGCAGAATTAAAATCTCCTAATTCTAGTAATTTTTTTAGAATTTCAATAAAGTGATTTTTCATGAATGCTCTACTTTCAAAATCTGTGAAAGATAAGACTGAGTTGCATGTCCAATTACTTAAATCATTTATTCTTGCCTGTATCAATTGAGTTGATGTTCCTTTAGAGAAGAAATCATTTACTCTCAGCTTAAAATATTGATCGAATGAAATTGCAGTTAGTTGCCTTGCAATGGTCATTGAATCAAGTTCTGCCAATAAAATTAATGGTGATTTTGGTTCTGATGGAACAAAGAAATCGTATACTGGAGACATACACCGTGCACGTTCTTTTTTTATAATATCTTCTGCTGTATTCATTCTGACTTTTAATGCTTCATTCATTGGAGAGTTTCCTTCATTAAGGAAATCCCAAACCTGAGGAATATTTATCTCATTATAAAGCGTTTGGATAATTGTTTGAGTAATAACTGCACAATGTTCTTGTGGTAATTTTCTTAGTACTTCTCCAATTTGTCCACCATAATGGGCTAATACTGAATATATAACATCTTTAACGGTGTCATTGTTTCTTCCTTCAATTAGTAGTCCAATTAATCCACCAGCAACAACCTTTCCTTTAATACTTATAACTTTCAAACTATCACTACAATTAATTTTTGATGTCAACGAAACATTATTTTCACCAAGTGTTTTTAATGCAGCAATGTATAGCCTTAAGTTATTCATCACAGAAGTACAAATAGCTATTAATTCTAGTAAACAAATATGCTCTAAACGATATCCACGATCAATTCTCAAAACAGCTTTTTCATATGGTTGGAATGTCATTTTTCCTTCATCTTTTGGTTTAAAGTGAATAATTTCCCACACAACACCTAATAATTCTGATCCTGCAGCTTGAAGTGCTTTTGATGCACTTTCAACAGCAATAATTCCACTAGACGTCCTTCCAGAATGAATATCAATTTCATTTAATTTAGAAATTGAACTATTAAAAATATCTTTCATATCTTCAGTTGCTTCAACAAAATATTGTTCCATTCGTTCCCCTACTACTTGAGCAGCTTTTAGAAAAACTTGTGGAACAAAATTGACTAATTGAATACAAGCCTCTTTCAAAGCATTTGCTGCAATATCTAATTCAGTAAATTTTTCTAATGCACCAAAACATGTAATGTCTTCAATTAATGAAGGGATTGTTGCTGTGACTTTTATTAGTTCTACGTATGCTATTTTTTCATACTCTTCCATTCTTGACCACATATCATCATTTTCAATTTCATGTTGTTTTAAAAAGTGTGTTTTTCGTGTCATAGCTGCAATAATTCTCATTTTAGTAGAGCTTTTTCTGATGGCAAATCCTGCTACATCTAATTGTGTTGGCAATCCATTTCTTTCCATAGAGAATATGTCAATACTTTCATAATACTGATTAATTGCTTCCTTGATATTCATTCCTAAAATAATTTTATTAGCAGTTGCATTGGCTTGGCATTCACGATAAACAGAAACAATATCTCCATGTTTTGATGTTTTAAATACTTGTGAATAATTAGGTTTAATTAATTTAATTTCTAACTCTTTTTTTCTTTTTTCTAACATTTCTTTTACTCTATTTAATACATATTCAATCTGTTCTATAGTTGCATCAGGAGGAAGACATTTTATGACATCTAGAAATTGGTTAGTTTGGATAGGAGAATGTTCTGAACAAGTTAGATTTCTTGAATTAGTTAGTGAAGAAGATGAAAGAGTACTACTTTCTCTTCTTAAAAATTGTCTCTGACTTTGGGTAACAGAAGGGGATGCACAATAAAACTTTCCTTGTCGATTTAAGAACCCAGATGAACGACGTTTTGTATTTGTCTCAGCGGGTTTAATAGCAGAAAACCCTGATTTCTTTCTTGGAGGGGGTGGTGGTAAGATTCCTGTAATTTCAACAACAATAGTTTGAATAGAAAGTAAATTCCCTAAAAGATCAGCACCATCTTCAGAACAAGAATCAAGTGTGTTAAATGCATTAATAATTTTGTCTTGTATTGATGAGGTAAAAGGAATACAATAACTGAGTTCATCAATCAATTCACTTATTTTATTGGTTGTATTAAACTCGTCTTCTCCTACTGTTTTCTACTTATAAACATATTTCTTTTCAATTTAAAATGAGATTGTAAATAATCAAAAGAGTAACAAAAATAAATGAAAAAATAGAGAAATAATTGTAATAATCAGAACAAACAATGCCTTGTTGAACTTTTCCAATAAGTGAATAAATGTCATGGGTAATTTCTTGGATTCCCCGTGTTGAATAGTTCATAATTATATTTTCTAGTTGGTTCTTCCTAGTATGAAAAAATCAAATAATTTTAAGAACAGAAAATTTCGTAAAGTTCCTCAAAGTTGTTTTATTTTATAAAAGTATGTGCCATGTTATTTTTTTAAATATTTCTTTTTTGTTTTTTAAAGTTATCTTGTTTCTATCTTCTTTAAAATGAAGATATTTTAGTTTTGTTTTGTTCTTTTTCTGTAAAGAAAAATCTAAAAATCTAAAAAGCAAAAATAAAATAAAAATAAAAAGTATCTGAAAAAAACTTTAAAAATTATTTAAATGAATAAAAATCAATCAAAGAAAATTTTATGTATATCACAAATTGTCATGAGTTTATTGTTCTTATTAATTGGACTCATTACTTCTCTTAAATATATGAAACAAGACTTTATGGGAATAAGACTTATTTCTGTTGGATTTTCATTTATTATTACTGGAATTATTGGAGCAATTTCTGGATATTTTATGAGTGATACTTACCCAAAGAAATTTTCTATTTTGTTAGAATGTTTCACTGTTTTATTTACTATCGTTTTAATAATTACTTCTATTAGGCTAATTTATAATGTGAAAAAAGTCAATGACCAATCTCTTCAGTTGCATTCAATTGAACATAATGTTTGTTTCATCTTTTTATGAAATTTTTATAAAATTTGATATTCACATTTTCAGTTCAAGTGTTGTGGGTGGAGCCATTATTATGACTGTAATATTACAACACCTAGAGGAAGAAGTTGTTATAAAGCAGTTGGAATTGGTTTGAAAGCATTAGGTTATCTGTCAATTATTTTCTTATTATTTGTATTATTCATTGAATCTCTTTTGTTCTGTCTTCAATGGATAACAAAAAGTAATAAAGCTCATTTAGAAGACCATGAGACAGATCCACTCCTTCCTAGTGAAGACGATTTAGCTCCATTCTGATTTAATGTTTTTTTATTTCTAAAACCAAAACTTATATTTTAATTTTTTTTAATAAAAAATAAATTAGTAATCAATCAACATCATTTGTATTATATTATTAAACTGTTCCAAATTGTTGCATAGCAAGTGTATAATAAAATCCTTTTAAATCTATTAATTCTTGATGTGTTCCTCTTTCTGCAATTCTTCCTCTCATAATAACACATATTTGATCTGCATTTTGAATAGTTGATAATCTATGTGCAATAACAATTGTTGTTCTTCCTTTTGCTGCTTTGTCAAGTGCATCTTGTACTATTTTTTCACTTTCTGAATCAAGTGCTGATGTAGCTTCATCAAGTAATAATACTTTTGGATTTCTAATTAATGCACGTGCAATAGCAATTCTTTGTTTTTGTCCTCCTGAAATTTGTGCACCTCTATCACCTACCATTGTATTATATCCTTCTGGCATTGCTGAAATGAAATCATGTGCATTTGCCATTTTAGCAGCAGCATAAATTTGTTCATTATTTACTTCAACACCTTTAGGAACTCCTCTTCTAATATTATCCATAACACTCTCAGCAAATAATACTGGTTCTTGTCCTACCATTCCAATTTGACTTCTTAAGAAATGAATATTTAAATCCTTTATGTTATGTCCATCTAATAATACATCTCCATGTGTTGGATCATAAAATCTTTCAATTAATTGAATTGATGTTGATTTACCACATCCTGATGCTCCAACTAATGCAATTGTTTTTCCTTGTTCTGCTTTAAATGAAATGCCTTTTAAAACAGCATTGTCTGGTCTTGTTGGATATCTGAAACAAATATCTTTAAATTCAATTTCTCCTTTAACATCATTAAATGTTTCACCTTCTTGACTATAACAATCAATAACTGGTTTTCTGTCGAGAACATCAAATGTATTCTTTGCAGCTTCTATGGCTTTTCCAACATCAGGAATCATTTGACCTAAATTACCACAACTATTTGCTGCCATCATAATTGACATCATTGCTTTTTGCATATTAGTGAAACTGTCCATAAATTGAGCAGTGAATGGTAAAAATTCCATATTATAATCACTCTTCTTTTTGATTAAATAAGTTCCAATATAGAATGAATATGCACTGATACAGCTTGTTACAAAAGTATTTGCAGCAGAAACAAATGCTAATGTTGGACCCCATCGAAGGATATTCTTTTTTGGTTGTTTTAAATCAGTTGCAAATTTATTATAGAAGAAATCTTCTCTTGTTAATGACTGAACAGTCTTAATTGATTCAACAGCTTCTACTAATGTAATTCCAGATTTTTCATATGCAGCAGTTGCTGGAGATGAGTGAATTGAATTTAATTTTCCATTTAAGAATACAATAACAATTAAGACTGGTGCAATTGCCATAACACATAAAGCTACTTTCCAATCATAATAAAATGCTATTCCTACTCCAAATCCTACAGAAGAAAGGGTATTAACAACATTACCTACTCGTTCACCAGAAATACCTTTTAATGTTGTTGGATCAGATGCAAGTCGAGTTGTAACTTTACCAACCATATTTTCTTTTCTGTCATAATAAGAAATGTTCTGTCTTAGTAATGCTGAATATAATAATTTTCTTAATCTAACAATCATCTTTTCTCCAGCTGATAAGAATAGTCCAAGATACATATATGTTGTTACAAATACTGCTAATCCAAAGAGAAGAATCCAAATACATTTATTTCTTACAGTATGGAGTTGGTCTTTTGTAGGTTCAGTATCAGGACTCATTCCCATCAAAGTCATCAAGAGTCCAATAAATTGAATCATGTAAAATGGAAATACTGCACCTGCACCTATTCCTCCAATAAGTCCTAAAAATGATAATAACCATTCATGTCTGAAATTATCTAATAATACTCTTAATAATACAAATCTATTTGAATGTTTTAAATGTTTTGTTTCATCTTCATATTCTTTTGTTAATCGTTCAACAACATCACTACTTTCTAATGTGTTACTATCTTCTTTATGAAGTATTCCTTGTTCTGCCTCTTTATCTTCTTGTTCTCTAAATTTCTTTAAATCATTTTCAACTGTTTCTTGATCAACTTCTTCTTCCATACTTTGTCTTTTAACTAATCCATAATATGTTCCTTTTAATTCCATTAATTCTTGATGTGTTCCTTGTTCTATAATTTCTCCTTGATGGAATACACAAATTCTATTAGCATTTCTAACAGTTGTTAATCTATGTGCTACAATAATTGTTGTTCTTCCTTCACTAGCTTTTTCAAGTGCTTGTTGTACAATTTTTTCACTTTGTGTATCAAGTGCTGATGTAGCTTCATCAAGAAGAAGAATAGATGGTTTTCTAATTAATGCACGTGCAATAGCAATTCTTTGTTTCTGTCCTCCTGATAATGCAGCACCCCTTTCTCCTACCATTGTATCATATCCTTCTGGAAGATGAGAAATAAATTCATGTGCATTTGCCATTTTAGCACATTCAATCATTTCTTCTTCAGTTGGTGTTTCTCCATCTCTAGCTCCAAGCATAATATTTTCTCTGATAGTACATGCAAACAAAATAGGTTCTTGTCCAACTAATCCTATTTGATTTCTTAACCATTTCAAATTTAATTCTCTTAAATCTTTTCCATCTAATGTTACTTTTCCACCAACTGGATCATAGACTCTTTGGACTAATTGAATAGTAGTTGATTTACCACATCCTGATGCTCCAACTAATGCAACTGTTTCTCCTTTCTTAATTTCAAGATCAAGTCCACCAAGAATTTGTTTATTTGGTCTTGTTGGATATCTAAATTGAACATCTTCTAATGTAATATTTCCATTACACTCACTTGGAATTACTCCAGCTGTAGATTTACAATCAATATCTGGAATTCTATCAATTGTTTGATAAATTCTATATGCAGCAGCTTGAGCAGTAGATAAAGCATTGATTGGCATTGCAACTTGGGCAATACTCATTGTGGCCATTAATACAGACATAAAGACAACCATGACAGTACCAGCAGAACAGTCTTTACTTGCACCTTTACCCCTAATGACCAATGAGCCGTACCAAGAGCCAAGAGCTAATGAGCCCATCATAAAGAACAATAACATTCCAAGTCCTACACCAACAACTTGAGCTCTAAGAATATAATACTTTTTAATAGAACTCATTTTTTTATCATAAGCATCAGCAAATTCATTTTCTTGACCAAGTGATTGAACAGTTCTCATATTACCAATTGTAGCTTCAGCAATAGCACCAGCATCACCTAAACTATTTTCTCCTTGTGAAGTAAATTTTGTTGCAAAGAAGGCTAAAAATAATACAGTAATTAACATAAATGGAGTGACTGCCATAATAACTAATGTAAGATCCCAACATTTAGAGAATCCAATTGCATAACCAGCAATAAAACCACATAATGTTTGGAATAAAACTCCAAATTTTTGAGACATTCCATCTTGAATTTGTTGGACATCAGAAGCAATTCTGGAAGTTAATTCACCAGATTCATGGAAATCATACCAACCAGCATCTTGTCTTAATAATGCTCTAAAATATAACATTCTAATTTTAATTCCTTGTCTCTCAGATAATACAAAGAAACAAAAATTCATTAAGAACATACCAACAGTTGTACCAATTGCAAAATAGATCATTTTTAATACAAGACCATTAATAGTGTCTGCAACAGTAGCAGTTAATTCATAATTCATATTAATTTGATCCTCTTTTGAAATATTACTAAAATCCATATTTTGCATAGAAGATGTATCAAATGTATCCATCATATCACCCATAACTAACATTTGCATTGGTTGTAATATACCTGCAGCCATAGCACCAATAATTCCACCAATTAATAAAATATAATCAATAAAACCTGCATATCGATATAATTCTTTGATTGATACACTTCCATGATCATTTGGTTTTTTATGTTTTCTAGCTAATTCATCTGGATCAGGAGTAACATCAAACACAGAGAAATCATCAAAGTTTGATACTTTTGTTTCACTAGGATTACTAATCATGTTTAATACTTTTTAATGAATATATCATACTATTTTTGAGTTTAAATACTCTTTTTAGAGTGGTTTTAATTATTATTTTAGCACTTAAAGCTACTTTTTTTCTTTCATTCAGGCTACACACTTTCAACAGTAGTCCTTCAAATTGACTTTTTCTGTTTATATAAATAGAATTTCATTCTTTAATACTGCTGTTTTAATTTTTTGTAGCAATTTTCATTTACCATACGAACCTTTTTTCCACTCCATCATCACTCATTTCTTAATTTAGTTATTTGTATTTCTTTTTACCAATTATATCATTTTTATGTTATTAAAAATTTGTGTTATTTGATTTTATTACATTTACTTCAATTATGGTAGATGAAATCTAAAAATAAATTAATAAGATAAAAATATTATCTGTATTATGTCAATTGGCTTATTATTACATTTTTATTATGTAAAACTAAGGTGCTAACAGTTTTTAGTTAATAGAGGAGTTTTTTATCTTTTTCTTTGTTTCTTTTAATTCACAAATGAGACAGAACGATTTCTAAATGTTTAATTGGTAATTGACATATATACTATAATAAATGATTAAATTTAAGAAAAATTTATTTTTAAAACCAACACAACTTTTGAAAATAATATTTGGTTATCAAAAAAATATTGGAAGTTAAAAAGAAAATGACCTTTTATTGTGACACTTAGTTTATTTATTGAATGTGGTTAATGTTTTATGTAAAAACAACAAAAGAAAGATCCTTTTGTTTACAACTTAAAAGAATGATAATATAATAAAATATATTGTTCTAAAAACAGGAATATTAATTTTTTAAATAATTTTTGTTGAATAAAACAAAAAAATGAATAAGAATAAAAACAAAAATGAATAAACATAAATTTTTAAGCCGTTATGATTTTCTTTTTTATTATATTTGATTGTTGAACCCAATATTGTAGTGTACTTGGACATAAATCTGAATATAATTCTGGATATGTTTTTTGAAGATGATTTGTTGCATGTGTTAATCCTAATTCTTCTGCTTTCTTTATAGCTTTAATTTTTAACTGAGGATCCCATCGTTTCTTTTTGTATTTACGTTCTTTAATTATGTTTGGTTTAGTACTTTCATCTCTCTCTGTTCTTGGTTCTGTACTTTTATTACTATTTGATGAAATCACATAATACTTCTGACAATCAACTGGTGTGAATTGTGAAAGAGACATCAAGAGTGATAACTCAAAGATTATAACAATCTCATTTTACTGTCTTTCATTAACTAACGAAGCAATTGGAATAATTGAAGGTCTTTGGACTTTAAACACAGAATGTTCCTAGCTTGTCTAATCTTTTCCATTACATTATATTGTTTATTCAATAAGGACAAGTTGTAGTATTCCACCCAATCAGATTAAGAAATTTCAGATGAAATTCGTATGAAATCAAACAAAAAAAGGTTCTATGTAAACTTATAACTTTATCTAACTTATTATTCATCCCCTCAGAATAAAACAACTGACATACAATATTGTCATTTAGATTATATTAATTCTTAATTGAAGAAGATATTAGAATCAATCTCGAATGACTAACCTTATCTATCTTTATGAGGTGATTCCTTCCTTAACTAAAAATGTTTTCATCAAAATAAAATAAAGAAAGGAAAATATTAGTCAATAAATTATGTTCTAAATTTAGAGAATATAACAACACCCACTCATTGCTGTTTCATTCTTCTCTTGCTGTTTTTTGTCTTCTTTGGTATTTGTTTTCTTATCAATTTTTTCACTTTTAGATAACTTTGAGTCAATGGTACACCCTTCAACTAATTCTGGATGTTCAACAATAACTCTTTTAAGGAAGTCAGTCAAATGATTACTCATACTGTCTCCATCACGGAAGCAATTACACTTATAAAAATTAACATCATCAGTTAACATCTTTTTACATTGCTCTTCAACGTCATCATCATCTGGTAAATCAGAATGTGTTAAAACAACAATACGATAAATAGGAGTAGCATCGGGACTAGCAGAAATATTTTTTAATAACCCTTCAAAATATTCAACTGAGTCAGGATTTTGAGTAGAACCTACTAACAAATGAATTTTAGCTTTTTTAAAATAAGAACTTACAGTTCCTCTATTATTAATCAAATCATCTCCATTACAATCGTACTACATAAATTAATTCTTTTTTTTTTTTTAATTTATTTAAATTTATATTTAAATAATATTTTCTTAATTATCAACTTATAAAAATAACAAACAAATGCAACACTATAAGTTTTCTTTCCTAAAACCATTTCTGTTGTAGTCTTTGATTCCCCTGAAGTTGATACATAATCTGTTGTAACTTCTTTTTTCTATGACAATAAATTCTTTTTTGTTATCATGAAAATATGTTAACAAACACAAAACATGTTTACTAAACTAGTTTTTCCCACATTAGAAATACCAACAAGCAGAATACCAATAGACCTATAACAGTAAGACAAAACTAATTTAAATATGATAGTTACTAAAAACCAAACTTTTGTGTTGCCATGTTATTAATTTTTTTTAACTACTTTTAAAGATCCTCTCAAGTTAAAAACTTTGAAAACTTAATCCAAAGTATTCGAAAAAAAAAAAGATAATATAGAACTAAAAAGAGGAAGTTTCATATTGAGCCACATTTATCTTTTTTTTAAATATATCTAACCTCAGTTTTTATTTATTAAAAAAGTTATTAAAGTTAAAGAAGAGTTTAAAAAAAACATTTGAAACTTCTCTTTCTAAAAAAAATAAAAAATGACATATTTGAAAATTGATACTATTTTTATTTCTTTGAAATTTTTTTTCGTTTGAAAGAGTTATTTTCGGTTTTTTATTTGCCCTTTCAAAAAAAAATAATTGATACAATCATTTTATTTAATAGAACTTTTCAGTAGAATTTCTTCTTCCTCTCCAGTTATCCCTTTTTGAGTAATCTGTTCTTCTTCTATTATTAAATGAATTCACTCTTTTACCTCCTTTTTGATAACGAAAATCATCTTCTTGTCTTCTTCTATTCATTCTATCGTCTCTTCTTTCACGACTATTACTTCTATCAAATTGCTTTTCTTTTTGAATTTTAAGATAACAAGATTCTAGTGATGGATCAAATTTAGTCATTTCTTCTGGTTTTAGTGGTTGAGGTTCTCTAGTAAAATAAGTATGTTGTAAAGCTTCTTCAGCAGTAAATCTAGATTTAGGATTAAGTTGTAAAAGATGGTCAATAAGATCCATAAAAATTGGATCATATCCTTTAAACACATCTTTTAAAATTCGTTTTTGAGGTGTAGGAAGTGCAAGTGTTTGAAACATTTTCATTTCTCTAAATTGAGGCCATTGTGAATCAGTTGGTGTACCACATATTTCCCATATTTTACTAAGTTGTTCATTTTCTGTTTTTCCATGAAATACTGGTCGATGTTTAAATATCTCAAGAAAAACACAACCAACACTCCACATATCGACTTCTCCTTTATACCTTGTTTCACCTAAAAGTAATTCAGGTGGTCTGTACCAAAGAGTAACCATATTATTTGTATAAATACCAACGTCATCTTGTTTTCTTGCAAGTCCAAAATCACCTAATTTAATATGATTGTCATCACTAATAAGAATATTTCCTGTTTTAATATCACGATGAAGTATATTATTTGAATGTAAAAATTGAATAGCTTGAAGAATTTGTAACATATACCCTTTTAACTGTCCTACCCCTACTTTATTTACAATTTCTTCACATTTGAGAAAACTTGAAAGGTCATGTGGCATAAATTCAAACACTAATGATATAGTTGTATTTCTTTCAATAAAATCATTTGCGTGTAATACTTCTATAAGTTGAATAATATTAGGGTGATGAATTTCTTGTAAAAGTTGTATCTCTCTTAGTGAAGTAACAGGGAATCCTTGATCCTTTTCACTTTTTAATTGTTTAATAGCAACAAGTTTTCCAGTAGTTTTTGTTCTTGCTTTATATACAGAAGCATATGCCCCACACCCAATTTGATTAATAATTTCATATTTGTCATTAATAACATTCTCTGAAGGGTCAAATGGAAGCATGATTGATTAGATTCTAGTTTTTTTCTTTTTATTTTTTTTTTCTTTTTTTTTTTTTAAATTAAAACTAAATAATATTGTTGAAATAATATCAGAAATCTTTATCTTTTACTCTTTGTTCTTATTCTTTTATCTATTTTAGTTGAATAGAATAATATTACTTATATTCTCTACCATTACATTTTATTTTTATCAATCAAAAAATTATTCACATAAATCCCTAACATTAAAAGAATAAAATTTTTCTCTCTTTTTATCACTGATATTACTAATACCTTGTTGTATTATCTTATCTAAGAAAATCTATTCCGATGATAATATATTATATTTTAATTTTAATTCATCGAAACATGTTAGTTATTGAAAAAATATCTTTAAGTTGTTTTCATTAATTAACTATTAGAAGTGTATTTCCTCTTATTTGTTAGTAACAAAGTTACATCCTATTCACTGATTTGCCATTAATAAAAATATGTTCTATTCTATCCGTTATAAATAACTCCAATTAAAAAGTCTTTTCTATGGAATTATTTTAATTGAATTATCAGATTATGAAAACTCTTTTTTTAAAGCTATTCAAAAAATAGAAATGATGGAAAAAAATTACCCATAAAAAACTTCAAAATAAAACAAACAATTATTATTGACTCAAGAAAATAGTTAATGTTAAACTAATTAGTTTATCTTAGCCAACAAAACACATATTACGAAATAATCTATTTTCTATGTTTAATAATAAAAGTAATTCAACATAAATTTAAAAATTATTTTATTATAAAAAATATGAAACATATAAAAAAGAAAATTCATTAAAAAGAACTGAATATTTATGATTTTTGTTATACTCTTATTTGTAGAATTTTTGAGTCATGGTAATGCACTTCAAGTTGGAAGAAAGGAGGTGTATGATACGACATACTTGTGTGGTATTTTAAATACCCTTGGATATAGTATTGATATTCAACGACCAGGGAGATTAGCTAAAACATTTCAATCATTTAATATTGTTTCTATCACAAGTCCACAAGGCAATGTAGTAATGAGTAATAAAAAACTAGGTGGAGAAGTTTATGAAAAATTAATAGAAATAATTCATAGAAGTAGTATTATCAGATTGACTACAAAATCACGAAAAAATAAAAATGGATTTTCACCATTAACTGGAATGACTATTAATAACAAAATTTATGACTATAACTTCCATGAAAATCTATCTTTTTTAGGAGAATCTTTTAATGACAGAATTAAATCATATTTCGAATCTCAAAACACCCTCCATTTATCTCCTTGTAACGAAATTTTTAAAGAACTAAAAAACTTTGTTCCTAATAGTTGTCAAGTACATTTTGTTCAATATTTTCTACCTTCTCCACAAATATCTTTTATTCCAATTTCATCAACTCCATCATTAATTTCTCCTACAACAGCTTTAGACCAACAACAACAACAACAACAAGAATTCCAACCAACATATGAACTGTTGATTCCAGATTACACCAGACAAGGTTATTTGGATTTAGCCCAAATAAATAATTAAACTATTTAATTATCTAAAAGTTTATTAATAAATAAACCAAATATTAAAAAAAAAAACAAATAAGAAAATAAATAAAATATGCAGGTATGTTATGGACAAGTCATCACTGGAGCACCAGGAAGTGGTAAAACTACATTTATTAAAGGAATGTATACATTTTTAAAATTAATGGGAAGAGAACCAATAATCATTAATTTAGATCCTGCTAATGAACCAAATGATTATCCAATATCTGTTTCACTTCCTGAATTATTGTCGTTAGATGACGCAATGAAAGATACTCAACTTGGTCCAAATGGAGGGATGTTGTATTGTCTAGAATATTTAAGTGAAAATGTTGATTGGCTTATTGATAAAATTATTGAAATTCACCCATCTTATTTACTTATCGATTGTCCAGGTCAAACTGAATTATTTGCAACACACCCAACATTACCTACTATTCTACATCGATTACAGCAAATAAATTGTAGATTAACAGCAGTACATCTTATTGATTCAATTCATATTGGAAATCCATCAATTTATTTAGCAGCAGTATTACAAGGACTGGCATGTAACATGAATTTAGAATTACCATTTGTTCCATTCTTAAGTAAAGCAGATTTATTGGGTGGATATGGGTTCAATGTTAGATTAGAAGATATTATTAATGGAAACGTTGCTGAGTTAATTAATGACTTACCTTCTAAATTTACCACATTAAATGAGCAATTAGCAGAGATCATTGACCAATACTCATTAATTAAACCAATTCCATTTGCTATTGAAGATAAAAATGATTTAGCATTAGCTATTGCAGTGATAGATAAAGCAAATGGATATTGTTTTAACTCAAAAGAGTCAAGTATTTTACAATATTTTTGTGTTGCCAGTGGTGTTTCTATAGATATTAAAATTGACCAAACCATAGAAAAGTATCAAAGTATAATTGATGGGGATAATGTAGTTCATCCACAACATGAAGAAGAAGAAGAATAAAATTAAATTGATTGTGTATTATTATTTATAATAAAATTATAGAAAATATTATAGTTTTTATTAAAAAAAAATGATAAAGAAAAAACTTAAAAGATTATTTTATGGAAGAAGAAACAAAAGCACTTGTTGAAGGTCCATTTCAATTACTTACTGAAGCAGTTGAAAAACATGGACAAGTGTTAATTAATTGTAGAAATAATAAAAAATTAATTTGTCGTGTAAAAGCATTTGACCGTCATTTTAATATGGTTCTTGAGAATATTAAAGAAATTTGGACAGAAATGAAACGTGATTCAGATGGTAAATTAAAAGCAAAATTATGTCAAAGGAGCATCAGTAAAATGTTTTTAAGAGGAGATTCAGTTATTGTAATAGTTAAAAACCCAGCAGAATTAATGAATAAATAATTGATTATTTAAAGAGAATAAAGAAATAATTTATAGTAATTTTAATGGTTAATTATAATAAGTTATGAACTTAATTAAAACATAGTTTTTTAGTAAATTGACACTTTATTTTTACAAACAAATGAACCAACATGATGTCATTACTTTAAAGTTTCAAAAAGCTAAAGAAGAATTACAAAATCATTACCAACAATTAAATAAATATTTAAGAAGTCTTCAACAAAGTTATTTAACGGCAATGCAACAACCAACCCAACACCCTCTTCCAAGTCCTCAAATGCTTCAAAACCATATTAATCAATTAATTAATGCATATGCCGCAGCATCTCAAAAACTTGCATCTGCACCACAACCACCAGTTATTATTTGTAGAGAAATGCTTGATACATTTATTGAACGAACAAAGGCAAATGCTGATTTTATTAATGAAATAACAAAAAAATATGAAGAATTAGAAGAACGACAAAAACAAATCATTCAACAAATTAATGATGTCCAAATTAAACAAACTGAAACAAAAAGTATTATTGATAATTTAAATGAAAATAATATTGATGAATTTATCAATCAATTATTAGATTGGAATAACGCCCAAGTAATCGTTAAATTAAATAAAACAGAAGAAGCAATTTTATTACTTTGTGATGCATTAAAAAAGAATTCAACTAATTCACAAAAAATTGAAGATATTGTTTGTTTATTATTCAATGAAATTTATTCTTTGTTTGATTATTAAACACTTACTTTTAGTGTGAATGTATTATGGCATTCATTTCTATGACATTACTTTCTCCTGTTGCTGTTTCTCAGTTAAGTGATATAATATCTCAAGTCATTGTTAGTCCTGCTGTTTCTGAAGAAGCTACACCAGCAATTATTGATGTCTACGACGCATTACATGTTCCAGTTTTTTCACAATAAAATTCATTTAATTTTGTTTCATTTAATTTTTATATTAATTATTTTTTCTATACTATTAATTAAAAATTATTAAAATGAAAGCTCAGAAGACTGTCGTGAATTAACAATTCCGCATGATCCTCTCTTGGACTAATGGTTATTTTTCTCTTCATCGCTTTCTTTCATTTTAAATTTTAAATTTTTTGTTTATTCAATTAAAAAAATTAATTGAATAGAATTATGGAAACTTTTTGAATTATAAAAAATGTTTTTATTATAACTATTGTAAATTATTTATTATTGTTATTATTTTCAATTCATGTTGTATTGATTAAATTCATCTTTAGCTATTCAAATTTAACTTATCATCCAAAACAAATATATATCCCAGTAATAAAGATTTAGATATTGAAACAAATAGAAACAGATATTATAATAAGAGACATTTATGGTGTTATTGTTAAAGTTAGAATTAATCTTAATAGTGATGAAACAATAGAAAATAGAAAGTATAAGATTTAATAGAGAATATAATGAATATAGAAATATCAATTTCAAGAAATTAATTTAACAATTGGATATGTTAAATTAATATTGATTAATAAATCTGAAAAAGGATCATGAGAAGTTATTGATAATAAAATGGTACGTTCATATGGGATATTTTATAATGTAAATGTTGATATAACACATATTGATATCTGATTATAACTTTTTATTCTATGCATAATACAATAAAACACTTTTAATAATAGTACTGGAATCAGGGACACTATTTTACAATATCAAGAAGAATTTATAAGAAAAGAATCTAAGATTTTATAACCAGATAGACAAATGAAAGAAGAATATTAAAATTGAAGAATGTAATAGAATCTATTGAGAGATATTCAAGGAAAAGAAAATAAAACAACGATTATTTAAATCTATTTTTTGTTCAATTAAGTATATTTATTAGAATCTTATTTGATATTTATTTTTCATTATTTTTTTGAGAAATGATTAATAGTTTAAACGTATACCAGACCATATTTATTTCATTTTCTATCTTTTTAAATCAGTACTTACATTAAATTTTATTTTTTGTTTTATTATTTTAGTGTTAATATTAGTTATGCACTCACCTTAAACTGATTAGGTTTTTGATTGTATCATATATTTAATTTTATTGTTAATTTAAATTGATTATTATACGATAATAATCTAAACAATAATAACTGATTAGTTTATTATATTTTATTTATGGTAATACATATACTTAATTGACAATATGACTATGTTCAATTTATTGGAAATAATTATGAAGGTTATTTGGTGTTTGTGACTTGTAAAAGACAAAAAGAGAATTTAAGAAACAAATAAATAAAAGAGAAATTAAAAACTGATTAAACAATAATCAACAAATATAATTTCTGAATTAATTGTATATGTTATTTTAGAAATGATCAACTTCGATAGTGACTTCTTTTACACTATCATCTCTTGTATAACTAGTGACATAAGGGTAATGTTTTTTAACAAAAGAATCAAGTTCTTTATCATCCATTTCATTTAATCCTCCAAAGTATGTAATAGTTGCAGATTTATTTAATTTTTCTCCTTCACCTGGTTTTAATGTTCCATCAGGATATACCTCAATATTCTTTTCATTAATAATAACACTGATATCAAAATTAATATTCCTGACATCAACATCTTTCCATTCAATTTTACCAATATTACTTTTTCCAACTGTTAATGACTTGATATTATTTAATTTATCTTCTTCTAATTCTCTTAGTTCTGAGATTGATGGAACCATAAAATATCCACTTTTATTCATAACAGGTGCTTTTGAAAAAATAGGTATTGAACTTTTTCTCATTTCAATAGGTTGAGTTGATTCTTTTGTACTATTTTTATTATCCTCTTCTTTAATGTTTTTATTTTCTTCATTTGTTATATTTAAATCTCTTATTAAAGATTGATACATCATTACTACAGCTTTTTTATGAACTTCTGGGTGTTTAACTTTTGTTTTTTCTTTCTTTTCTTTATCTTCTTTCTTTTGTTTTTCATTAAGCTGTTTTTGTGCCATATCAGCAATAATTGCTGATGTTTGTTGTTGTGTTAATCCTTGTTGCTGAGGTGATTGAAAAGAGAGCCCATTAATATTTCCTGTTGATAATGAACCAATTCCATTTGTTGATGTAAACACATTACTAGTAGAATTTCCAAAACTTGAGATATTTGAAGTACCAAAAGAAGCATTATTTCCAAATCCCCCAAACAAGTTTCCTTGGTTATTTGTTTGATTTAATCCTAATTTACCAAATGTCCCTGAACCTGTTAATGAATTTGTTTGTCCAAATCCTGTTGTATTTCCAAATCCTAATTGCTGATTATTGTTCTGTCCAAATGAACTAAATCCTCCTCCTTGTTGATTATTTTGTCCAAATCCACCAAATCCACTTGTTTGTGTATTACTAGTTTGTCCAAATCCTGTTGTATTTCCAAATCCACCAAATCCATTTTGTTGTTGATTAGTCTGTCCAAATCCTGTTGCACTTCCAAATCCACCAAATCCAAGTCCATTTGTTTGTGTATTTGTTTGTCCAAATCCTGTTGTATTTCCAAATCCAGTAAACCCATTTGACTGTGCATTTGTTTGTCCAAATAATCCAAATCCACCTTGTTGATTATTTGTTTGTCCAAAACCTGTTGTATTTCCAAATCCACCAAATCCATTTTGCTGTTGACTAGTCTGTCCAAAACCTGTTGTGCTTCCAAATCCACTTGTTTGTGTATTTGTTTGCCCAAATGATCCAAAACCATTTGATTGTTGATTGTTTGTTTGCCCAAATCCACCAAAAGGGTTCTGCTGAGTATTATTTTGTCCAAATCCTGTTGTATTTCCAAATGACCCCAATCCACTAAGTCTATTTTGCTGAGTATTTGTTTGCCCGAATGATCCAAATCCACCAAACCCATTTGATTGTTGATTATTTGTTTGTCCAAATCCACCAAAAGTATTAGTTTGAGTATTATTATTTCCAAATCCACCAAAACTAGTTTTACCAAATGACCCAAACCCATTTGGTTGTTGGTTATTTTGTCCAAATCCACCAAAACCATTTTGTTGTGTATTAGTTTGTCCAAATCCTGATGTTAATGAATTTCCGATTGTATTACCAAATCCAAACCCTGTGTTTTGGGTTTGTTGTCCAAAACCTGTAAATCCAGTTTGTTGTTGAGAGGAAGGTTTAAACAGACTTTGTTGACCAAATCCAGTGTTTTGGGTTTGATTAGAACCAAACCCTGAGAACGATCCAAAACCATTTATTTGTTGTGTGTTATTTCCAAATCCTGTTTGTTGGTTGTTTTGACCGAACCCCATAAAACCATTTGGTTGTTGTGAAAAAGGTTTATTGATATTTGACATACTTAATATTCTTTTGATGAATAAATTATTTTCAGTCCTTTTTATTTTTATCTTAAAATAATTCACATTCCTCTTTTAATAATTCACATTAAATTGTTATTAAAAACATTAATTTATTTTTGTTTTTTATACCAGTTGTATTAAATAAAAAGAATATTAAACTATTTATTTAATGACAGAACTAAAAAATGAAAAAAGAAATTACTACTTGTTAATAAAAAATATATAAATATATTTTAAAATATCAAAAAATAGAAAGTTTTTTAATTTAATTTATAACAAAATTAAGAACAATAAACAAATAAAAAATACTGAAAAGTGATAAAATAAAACAAATAAAGTGAACAACTCAAAACTTTTTTATTTAATATAAGTCGATTTTTCTTAAGAATTAAAATAATAAATTATAATAATTAGTTTAGGTATCATAATTTTATTTTTAAATAAGATTAGGTTTATACCTCAATAAATTCTGTCATACCATTCAAACTAAAGTTTGTTGTTACTAAAAGTATATCCTCTTTTTCAATTAAGTTTTAGTTAATAAATAAAACAATAGTACAAAAAAAATAGTGAAAAAGTCTTGAACCGAAGAAGTTAGTGGAATATTCATTCATATTTTTAATTTTAAGATTTTCTTTTTTTGGATTAAATTGAAATGAATGTGAGGTTTGAGAGGAGTAAATAAGTATCTGTAGTGTTTTTATTAAAAAAAAAATAAAATAAAAATATGGAAGAAAAATAAATTATAATCCCGATAATTTACATTGAATTCAAATAATAAAATAATTTAGAACTAAATTTGATAGAAAAAAGAACTTTAAAAAGAAACTAAAAATAAACAGTTCATGGCTGAAGAAAAAGACTACCTTTTCAAACTTCTTCTTATTGGTGATTCAGGAGTAGGAAAATCCTGCTTATTGTTAAGATTTGCTGATGATACATATACTGACACTCATATTGCTACAATTGGAGTAGATTTTAAGATTAAGACTGTTCAAATAGACGGTAAAAATGTTAAATTACAAATTTGGGATACTGGTTTGTTTTATTTCATTGATGAGTTAATGTAAAATTCTTTTTTATATCAAACAATAAATGGTATTATATTTTATAATACATTAAACTATAAAATATAATACCGTTTATCGTTTTAATTGTCTTTTAAGGGCTTTATAATTAGTTAAAGAAATTATTCAAAAATTCTTTAATAACTTTTATTAAAAAAATGTAGTCTCATTTTTTAGCTGGACAAGAAAGATTCAGAACTATCACCTCTTCTTATTATAGAGGTGCCCAAGGTATTATCGTTGTCTATTCAGTTATTGATTTACAAACATTCCAAAATGTTAGACAATGGTTACAAGAAATTGAAAGATACGCTTCAGAAACAGTTATTAAATTACTTATTGGTAATAAGTGTGATCTCGAAGATGAAAGAGCTGTTACTGTAGAACAAGGACAAGAACTTGCTAATTCATTGAATGTATCATTCATGGAAGCTTCTGCTAAGAAATCATTAAATGTTGATGAATTGTTCAATAAAATTGCTACTGATATTATGAAGAATATTCAACCTGCTAGTACTTCAAAACCAAGTGAACAAGCTGATCTTAAGAAAGGTGGGTCTGATGGAAAGAAGGGTGGTAAGAAAGGTTTCTGTTCTCTTATTTAAGCAATGATAACTTTTTGTTTAATCCACTTTGCTTGAGTAAACTATCAAACAATTTTTGTTTGGTATTTTTTAAATTGATTTTTCAGTAAATTAAAATAAGTGAAATATAAAAAAGAGGGTTTGAGAACAAAGTTGTTGACTTCAATTTAAATCAACAGTTGTTTATTGTTAATTACTTTATAACTATTGTCGTTTTGTTATTGAAGTAATTTTGAGAATATTATCGCAACAGTTAGAAAGAACAGTTTACACATGAAGAATTACAATATTATATAAATGTTTGATATTATTCAATTTAAGATATTTCTTTAGTCCAAAAATTAATCATTAAAAGTGATTTATTTAGTCAAATCTCAGATTAGAAACATAATATTTAATGATTTGATTAATTTCATATTTTATTGAATATCGTCAGAAGCACAAATCTAAATTATACAAAGTGTTAAAAAGGAGTGTATTAAGTATGACATCATCTATTTTATGAATCTCTTTTTTATACCAATACTATCAAAAAACTAATATTAATTTTACAACTCTTTAATTATTTAAAGGTCTGTGTCAATATTGTAATGGATATAAATTATAAATAAATACAATAACATTTATTTCTTTTCATTCATTAAATAATAGATAATTAGTAATTACTAATGTTGAATTCTTATTTTATAGTTCAAGTTATTAGTTGTAGTATTGAGTTGTATGATTATTTTATTACAAAATATGATTGTAATTTGTACCATAAAAATATGACAATAAGATGTTGTAAATTATTTAGGTTTGGTTAGTCCTTCTTCCGTTTGATTGGTTTGCAGTGATAATATGTTTTCTTTATTAGTTAGTTCACCAATTGGTATCATGTCTTCAAGCATTTCCCATTTATCATCTGTCTGATCACTTAAAGGAAGATATTGGTTGGTGTTTAGTGTTGTGTCCATTTAGGTATGAAATAAAAGAGATTTATTTTTGAATAAGAAATAAATTTGTTTCAATACACTATGTGATCTACGAATAACAAAGAGTCATTTAGATAGTCAGAGAGTATTTCTTATTTGTTTTAATGAACAAAATGAAAGTTGATTAAAAATAAAGGATTTGTATTTCAAATTGGAATTATATTCAGTCAATACTCATTTCATAAATACCTACTATTAATTTAAAATTTCTCAATAATGAAATAAAGTAGTGGTTAGTTGAATATACTGAATGGGTATAGAGATATTAGGGTAGATGTTTTTTGATGATTGAACAGATGAAGAAAACGTCAAAAAGAAAATACAAACAAAAATATTTGAAATAAAACATTTCACTATTTTGTTACTTCATAAATACCTTAGTTTATGATAACAACTGATAAAATAAAAGATAAAGTTATTATCTTTGTTGACTAAGTGTATGACAAAACAAGGAAACAAAAACGAAATAAAAAAAGGTATTAAACGTACAACTAATGTATTAAACTCTTTAATTGAACAAATCACATATTTTTCTTTGGAATTAAAAAAACTAACATAGAGTAATTGGTTATTAGATAAGGTAGTTATTACAATAATTATCATTTGATGGTTTGAAAAAAATTGTTATGAATATTTATTGAATAAACAAGAAATAACTTTTCGTTTCTTTTATTTTTTTTTGTAAAGTTTTTAGATTTTGAAAATTTATTTAATTGAACTTTTTTTGAAGAAGATTGAAAAATAGTGAAATATTACAATTAAGTATTGGTAAAAATCATACAAATAAGACAATAATTAAGTCGCGTTTTATTTGTTTAACAAATTATATATGATAGGATCACCTTTAGTAATGTCAAGAGTAGGATTATTTTTTAATTGATCAGTTAAATAATGATTAATTGAAGAACCTATTGTTTTAATTGCATTTATATCATATTTTAATATATTATTACAATAAATACCAATATTAACTTCACCAGCAATAGTCCCATCTTTTCTATAAAATAATGAATACATATAACGGTAACCTTTTTCAAATAAGAAATCTTCAAGGAGTTGAATAGATATATTTAACCTATTTTTCTTAATATGAGATGCTGCTATTGTTTTACCAATGTTATTTTTTGTTTCCAAAACAAATATATGATGTATTTTATCTTCAATAAATTTCCAAACTAAAATAGAATCTAATTGTGAAAATGTTATTCTTGAAACACAAAGAAATGGTAATGTAACTGTTGATTTAACTGATCTTCGTTTTAATTCTATTGTTGCATATTTATTAAGTAATGCAAGATAGATAGATTGAAGTGATATAAGATAATTAACTTTATCTTTATATTTGCGAAAGTCATTAATATTATGTTTATGTTTATTCATTCGCTTACTCTTGAAACAGTTTTTAAGTTACTTTTTTTTCCTTATCCACAAAAAAAAATGTATTTTTAAAGCACCATTTGAAAAAAAAAAGGATAAAAATAATTAATTACATGTTATTCATACATTTGTTAATAATTCTATTAACGTTGATATATCTAACCGTTTTTGAGGATCATTATCCCAACATTTAGAAATAATTAAAAAGATATTATCTTCCATAGTTTTAGGTTTAGTAAGTCTTTTTCCTGATACAACAAATTCAGCTATTTGCCATGGATATTCAAATAATCCATCAGAATTATCGTAAGCTGGTCCCCATTTCATGACTTCATAGATTGTTATTGCAAAAGCATAAATATCAGCAGGTTTTTTATATTTTTGAAGTAATAATATTTCTGGTGCCATAAACACTGGAGTACCAACTCCAGTTGTAAATGTCATATTTGTTTGAAGCATATTTATATTTCTTGCACTTCCAAAATCAGTTAATTTAGCACATACTGATACATTAATTGTATCAAGAGACATAATAAGTATATTTTCTGGTTTAATGTCACGATGAAGAATACCATTATTATGAAGATATTGAATACCTTTAGCAGCGTCTATAATAAATTTAATTTTTGAATATTTATGAAATTGAATATTAGAATTTTTTTTAATAATCAAATTTCTTAAAGAACCATATGGTGCATATTCCATAATAATACTTTTATTAAAATCAAAACAAAATGCCCCATAAAAATGAACAATATAATCACATCTTATTTTATATAACATCTCAACTTCTTTTTTAAAGTTAGTATTAAGTAATGTTTCTGTATTAAATGAAAATTCTTTTAACCTTTTTATTGCAACAATATTTCCTTTATAATTTCCTTTGCTAATAATCCCAAATCTACCTTCTCCAATAATTTTTTGTTCAATAACATCAGCAATATCAAGTTTTGGTGAAAGTTCTGTTTGAACTTTAATTGGTAATTTATAAATTAATTTCTTTTTATTTAAATTATTTACTTCATATAATGAGATTGAATCATTAATAAAACAAGTACAATAAGGAAGAATTGATATTTTAACATGACAACATTTATTTGGTTTTAGATTAATACATTCAGGATATGTTTTTACTTGATATTTATAATCATTAATGAAAGGACAATTAATGATAATTTCTTTTGTAGAATTAGATATATTTCCAATATAAAATGAAGTATTATTTATTGTATCAACATTTAATAAGTTATTAAGAGTATTAAATTGAATTGATTCAGTTGAAATCATAATATCTGATGTTGCATGAACAATCATTTTAATTTTTAATTTTTTTATGTTCATTATAATAGATTTTTGTTTTAAAAGAACATTGTAAATAAATATTTTAGTAATAACACAAACAATACTAATTATTATAATTAGTATAAATAATGCTATAATAATTTCTAATAAAACAATCCACCATATAACATGATATATACATCCTTCTTTATTTTCATTTAATTTATATCCAAATGAACAATGAGAACATTTAGAATCTTCAGTTTTAATACAATGACTTACAAGATTTATTGAAATACAATTAAGTGTTAAAGAATTTAAAATATAATTATTTTCACATATTTGACAATTTTCAATATTTTTACATTTTTTACAATGAGTACTACATTTAAAACATTCATTAAAAATAAGATAATATCCATCTTCACATTTATCACATCCTTTAGAAGTAATATTATTTTTACATCCTTGAATTTCATTTCTAAATTTACATTGATTATTTTGATTCATATACATTGTACTATTACATTCAATACAATTTTGATCATTTGTACATTTTTCACATTCTTCTTTACATGGAAAACATCCAAATTCATAAATATAGTATTTGTCATGACATTTTACACATTTTCCTGTTGCTGTATATAATTTACAACTTTCTTTCATTTCTATATTATCTCTACATTGATAATTATCAATAAAATATCCTTCTTTACAACTTAAACAATTTTTTGAATCATTAATACATGTAAGACATTTTTCATCACAAATACTACATATTCCTTTTTCTAAAAAATATCCATTATCACATCTTTGACATCCAAATTTACTTTGAACTTGACAATGATTTACTTTATTATTACAATTTATTGTTTGAGTTGTTGAAATATATTTTCCATATGAATATTTACACTCTAAACATTTTCCATTAACCATTTCTTCACAATTTTCTTGGGTATTAACACATATTCCTTGAACTAAAGAGAATCCATCATTACATTTAATAATTCCATTTTTTTCTACTATTCCATTAACTATAGAAATACAACTTCCATTTTCATTCATTAATAAATCATCTCTACATTTAAGTATTCTATTATTTTCACATATTTCAATTTTAGAACTAATAGAATTACAATTTTCACAAATATTTTTATTAAGAAAATGTGTATTTGAACATGAAATAACTGAAGTTGTTGATTTATATTCTATATGTTCTTTTTTAATACATTGATTATTCTCTAAAATTCCATCAAATGAATCTTCACAACGATAACATTTTCCTTCATAACAATCAACACAATGTTCAATTTCACATTTAGAACATTGACCATTTATAACACCTCCAAATGAACAATAAGAACAATGATTATTAATAAATCTTAAACAAATAGAAGAATTAATAAATATACATTTATTATCTTTTAATTGATAATTATCATTACATAATAAACAATTTGAAGAAGTACAATATTTACAATTATCAATAGTACATTTTTTACATTTATTTGAATCATAATAATAACCAGAATCACATTGAATAATTTTCTTTCTGAGACAATTAAAATTATTATTTTCATAAATACCAAAATCACATATTTCATTTGTATTTTGATATATCATTCCATTATATGTTTTAATGATTATTGGAATAGAACCTTGAATATTATAATTTTTTAGAATATTAAAATTATCTTTATAATAAAGAATAATTCCATATTTACTTTTAATTTCAATTGTTTGATCATTCATTTTAAATATTAAACTTTGAAATTCTTGTTTTCTTGTTAATTCATTAGAATTATCATCTGAAGAACAATCTATTTCATATTTAAAAAGATTTCTATTTATTGAAACAAATCCATTTTTACCTATTACTTCACAAAGTGGATATATTGTAATTTTATTTGGAAAAGTAACAGTACCAATAAAACCATGAATAGTTTGTTGATATAAATTAGAATTCATAATAAGATTTACTTTTTTATCTATAAAATTAACATTAATGTCACCATTATTTATATTAATTTTATCATTTAAAGAAGAAATATAACAATTATTACCAGAACATGGACAATATTTTTGAGTAAATGAATATTTTAAATTTTTTGATATAAGATATTTTATATCATATTCATTCATCCACTCAGTTCCATTCATAATACATTTCATTTTAATATTTATCTTATTAGGACAATATCTAAGTATTTTACCATTAGATAAAAGTACAACATATGGGTTTTTATTATTTTGAAATCCTTTATATTCATCAAATATTAAATTAGTACATTCTTCATATTCATTTAATATAATAATATCATTTCCAAGATATACTTCTTTTTCTATTTTCTCAAATATAACAGTTTCTTCAACTGTTCTTGTTATATTTATTATACAAAAATCTTTAAGTGAAATTGAATAACATTCTTCTTTACAATCAAAATTACCTTGTATTTGTAGTTTTTTTGATGTATTAAAATGAAGATATGTTGTATTTGTCATACTAAATTGTTCACAAGAAAAAAATGAATCTTCTTGAAGATACCATGAACTAGAACCAATTATATTAATAAAACTAGTAGAAAGTACATATGATTTAAAATTTTGAAAGAAACTACTTGAATCTTTTAATAAAATAGAATGTGCAATAATCCAACATTCCCCATTTAAAATAATTGTAGAATGATTAGTAAGTACCAATATATGAGGAATTAACATTCCATCATCAAATAATATAATATTTGAATAATCATAAGTATTAATTTGTTTAACTTCAAAGAAATAATTATCATAAAAATACATGGATGAATAGTTATGTAAAGTAAGGTTAGTTAATGATAGATGAGATAATCCATAAAACAAAAACATAGAATTTCCATACATATCAATAGTGAAAGGATCATCATAAAGAGAAGAAATTACGACATTATCAGAAATATAAAATAAAGAAGTATTAAATTGTTGAATAGATCCAATATATCCAGAAGTATTATTTTGTAATTGAATTTTAGATGAATTAAAGAGAAAAAAATGAATAGTAGTAGAAGGAAAATTATTATTTAATTGACTTATTCCAGAGAAAATAATTTGACTTTTATCATATAATTGAATTATTTTTGCATTAAAATCACAATCATTTACAATTAATTGAGATTCTCCAAATAATAAAATTAATTCAATATCTGATAAAATACCATTATTTATCTTTAAAATTGATTTTCCACTTAAGTTAAGTTCTTGTATTTGTGAAATAATGCTATAAATATCACTAGAAAAAGTGGAATAATCAAATAAATGAAGAAATATTATTTGGAATTTTGATTCTTCTAATATAATTTGACTATAATCTTTAAGTGTAATTTTTGAAGTAATAAAAGTAGATTGATAAATTTGTAGAGATGATTCATTAAAAAGAGTTAATGAAATAGAATTTAAAGAAGATTTTGTTAAATTAATTATAGATGAACTTAAAATATTAATTTGTAAAATTGAAATAGAAGTATCTAAAAAAGTTAAAGAACAATGTTCTTGAATATTAAAAAATCCATTAGTTATTGAAGTAATTTTTGTATTAAAAAATGATACATTTGAATGATTAATAATAAAATGTCCTCCTTCATTAAGAATTATATTTTGATTATTCATATTAAAAAATATAGAATTTAGTATGATTGAACCATTAATTGATAATACTACATTTGATCCAAGTTGTAATAGTTTATTATTAGATATATTTAATGTTCCTTGTATTGTTATAAATGAATTTTCTTTAATTAAAATAGAAGAAATATATTGGAATGAACCTTCTTCAATAATAAGTGTAGATAAATTTTCTAAATTGATTGGTGGTAATTTTTTCGTTTCATTTAAACACAATGTATCAATAGTAAAAGTTGAATTATTAACAGAAATTAAATCACAATTATCTAATTGTTTAAATTCATGACAGTCCATAATAATACAAATTCTACTCGATGTTTTGTAAAACAAGAAGAATAGAAGAATAAATGAAAAAAACATTTGAAAATAATAAGTTAAAAACTAAAAAGAAAAATAAAAAAGAAACAACTCATTAAATTTTAATAAACAAAGAAATAGAAACCCAATCTTTTAAGCCCTTTAAAAAAAAAAAAAATAAATCAATAAAAAATAAGTAAATTATAATATGTGATAATTAGAAGAATGAACAGGAAGAAATACACTAAGAGAAGAATCTATTGATGATATTGTTATTAATTCAGATGAATTATTTGATTGAAAAGAACAAATATCACATTGACCATTTTCAAGACCATGTTCACATTCATTATTTATTACTTTTGTACAATTACAATGATTTAAATTATTACAAATTGGATGTTGAAAGAAAAATCCCATAGAATGAAGAGATGGTAATAATGAAAAAGAATAAGGTGGTAATAATATAAGTGAAGATTCACTTTGACGATTATTTCCACTTAATAAATTCTTTAAAGAATCTAATAATTGAATTCCTAAAAGATCAATTAAACTTGATTCTATTAAAATACCATTCCATTGTATTGATTTAATTTTTTTCATAACAACTGTATATTTAGCACTTCTTGTTCCTCTAAATTCAAAATGAATTTTATGTTTTAAACATTCTTCAATCATCCAATTCATTGTTAATGCATCATAATTTCTTTTATAATAATTTTCATTTCCTTTTTTACAACCATCAATAACATATTTTTTAAATGTTGTATTAATTCTTTTTCCTTTTTCTTCAATATAAATATCATGAACTTTAACTAATTGTGTTTCATATTTACTCTTTTTATAAAACTTTTCTAATTCTAAATTATAATTTAATTCATTTAATATTGAAAATAAGACCATTTCTAAATGAACTTCTTGCTTTTTTGAATTAATTTTTGATTGACAAATACTCTTCTTCATAACCTTTTAATTCCAACTGTTTCAATACAAGATATTCTTCTCTGACTATTCAAAAAGGGGAACGTTTTATATTTTTTCCTATTTTTTTTTGGTTTCTTTATTTTCTTGTTTTTCATTATTTTTATTTTATGTTTTAAATATATAGATTGTGTTATTTAGATGAATCAAAAATAATTCTTTCAGTTTTAGTTTTAAGACTTTTAAAAAATGACAACGAATTCCAAGTCAATTATTAAAATTCTGGATTTTAAATTTAATGAATTTACAAAACTAAAGAAACAAATTGTTATGTATTTCCCTTCTTTTCATTGATACAGTTTTCCTTGAATTTTTGAATTTTGTTTAATTATTGTATTAATTTGGACATCAATATCTTCAACTGTAACTGTAGATTTAGTGTCATATAAAAATTTCATCATTTTTAATACTCTTTTATTAAGAAATGTTTGAATTGGATCAAAAATACCTTCTTTACGTTGTTTAGAAATTGCCTTTAATTAATTAGTTTTTTTTGTACTTTTATTAAATGATATAAATCGTTGAAATCCAATAAAAAGTCATTGAATATTTATCTATTTTAGAGAGACTTATTGTTTATTGAATTCTCTTTTTTTTTAAAACAAAAAGAAAAGAACAAACATGATATGATGATCTTGTATTATTAATTTTATCTCTTAATTGAGTTGATGTTTTTTTAATTCCTAAATCATTCATTAAATCATTAGAACATTGAATATGAAATTGTTTTAATGGTTGTGTTCTTCGGTCTTTTAATTGCCATTTTCTATATTTGAGAATAATATATAAAGTTGCAAGATCACTCCAATCACGAGAAGACCTTGGAACTTCTTTTATAAGGTCAGATTCAGTAGAGTTTGAGACAGTAGTATCCCAAATAATACAATAGAGACTTTTTTTGACTGGAGTAAATACAGAACTATTTGTAAGTATAAATTTTGATTTAAAACAAGAAGATACAAACAGTGTAGTCATAAAATAACAAGACTTTTATTGAGATTTTGAGATTATTGTTAATATGAAAACATAATTAAATTTTTTCGTTGTAGAGAATATATTTGATAGGAAAAGATTTATTAAATGAAAAGAAATATATTTATAAGTAAATGAAATCATTTTTACTAATCTTTTCGTTATTTCCCGAATATATACTCAAATTAAAAAAGATTCAATAAATTTATCTAATTTTTCGTGTAAATAAAATAGTTTTTACAAAAAAATCAAAGTTCCTTTGAAAATAACAAATTCTACTTTTAACTTTTTCAATTTCTTTTTATTTTAAGAAATAGAAATTTATTATCTTTTTTTTTTTTTTTTTTTGATTTCCTTTCTTTAATAATTATTAATTTTAAATTCTAAAACCATAAAATCAAAATTATTTATTAAAAATAAATCATTATTAATCTGGACTTTTTTTTCAAGAAATTCCTATCATTTTATAATATCTCAAAATAAATTTCTACTTCAATTAAAAAAAAATCATTCAGAAATGTTATTCATAACCCATAATCTCATTCTTTTATTTTACCAAATATAACTAATCTTCTTGAAAACTACATTTATTTTTTAATGTGTTTTATACTTTTTAAAGTTGATTAAATGGATTATACTCCAACTAAATATCTTGTTTGAATGAATTTTTAAAAATGTTTAATTGTCTTTCTATTATTTGTTTTAAGTAATTTGTTCTAAAGATGAAAATCTTTGAAGTTCTATATTATCAAGAAATATCTCATTTTTTTTTTGTTTTAGTGGATCTTATTAATTTCATTATGACTTTTCTTCCTTATGATGAAGAAGAAGTAAATATATTATTAAAAAAATACAACCAACAAACCTCTAATTTAATAATTGAAGAATATAAAGAGAAAGAAATAATATCATTACAAAATATAGATAGTCAATTAAAATATGAAAAACTTATTAATAAAGCATCAGATTATCATTGTCAAATTACTACATTAAAAGAATTCTATCAAGGAAATTTAAAGGAAAAAGAAAGTTTAGAAAAAATTAATCAAAATCTAAACAATGATATTAATTCATTACAAAATCAAATTATTCAAATTAAACAATTATATTTTAATGAATTAATTGATAAAATAGGAGAAAGTGGATTATCATTAGAAAATCTTCAAGAAGTATTTCTTCAACTTATTATTAAAGAAGTTCCTCTCTCTTCTTGGAAAGAATATCTTATTAATCAATACTTTTCTATATAATTCTATTAGTTTAATTTAATTTTTATTATTAATGAATTTAAATAATAAATCAAAACCAACCACAAAAAGATGTTAATATTTAATAACAATCAATATCGTTGAGTGAAAGAGAATCAAATGACATTCTATTCTCTTTTAATATTTCTTCATTTTCATTATTTTTTTGTGGTAAATCAATACTTTTAGTTTTTAAACTTGAACTCTTTCTTTTTATTGGTATTTCAAATGTTGATTTAGTTTTTTTTTCAATAATTTTCTCAATTACTTCCATTGCATCAATTAATCTTCTTTGAGATATTTCATCCATTACTCCACAATTTTGTTGAAATGCAGCAAATTCTTCTAACAATCCAAGAAGTTCTTCCCATTCTAAATGAACACGTTTAGAACATTCTTGATCAATAAATACAAATCCACAAATTACAACAGCTAAATATCCTTTTATTATTTTATCTTCTTTAGTATTTCCTAAATTCTCAAATTCTTGACAATACTCTTCTAATAAATTACTTTTTACTAATGCAATAGCTGTTTTCTTTAATTCATAAAGTGTATTTGCAGCAATACTTAAAAGAAGTACTCTAATATCAAACCAATCATCTGAATTAAACATATTTTGATGTATTTTAGTTAAAACATTCATTATTGGAATAGTTAATAATATATCTTGTGTGATTCTATTTGAATAATTCATTATTGCAGTTAATATTTCTGTTAATGGTTGAAGTGTCAAAGGAAGATGATTTAAACAAAGAGTAATTGGTGTCATTAAATCATCAACTACTGGTATTGGTTGTGTACTTCCTCTTGCAAGTACTGTTGTATATAATGGTAAAAATAAGAGTAAATCTTTTTCATTATCACAATGAGGTAATTTAGGGAGAGAAACAATAACATTCATATTTGATAATATAAGAAGTGTAAGATATGGAATAACTAAAGGTAATGAAGGTAATGCAAATAATGTTTTTAATTCTGAATGAATTGATGTTGCAATAGAAGATGGTGTTTCTGATGTTAACATTGAAAGAAGTGATGGAGATGATTCTTCAATTTTAGTAGGAATAAGTAATTGAGGAAATAATAAACCATAATGATTTACTGGTGTTAATAAATCTATAACTGTTGGTTGATGAAGAGAAATAACAGCAAGAATAGCAACAATATATTGAGTATTCATTATTATAATATCACTTAGAGGAGTTGTTATTGGTATTGTTAATCTATGAAATGATGATAATAAAGTATTATAAATTGAATTTGAAGGTGGATTTAAAATAATTGAATGAAGAATTTCAGATAAAATTGTTAATGGTTGTTGAGTTGTTTGTAATGATTGAATTAATGTATTTAATGAAATTTCTTGTGTTTTTTTTAATCCTTGACGTGATTTTGTTTTTGTTTGTCTTGATTTAGGAGATATTGATGTTGATGATTCTTTAGGTTCTTTTATTTGTTTATTCATATTAATTATTTCTATTTTCAAGTTTTTTTTTTTTCTTTTTAAAATTCTCTTTAATTTCTTTTAAATAAAAAACATTCTTTCATATCTTTTTTAAACCTTTTATTTATTTTCAATTAATTACAAAATTATATATATATATTATATATTTTTTTTTTTTTTCTTAATTTAATCTTTAGCATCAATAATTCCACCTGTATCAATTGCAAATGTAGCTTCTGCTTCAGGTAAATTTGGAGAATCATATATTTTAACAATTCGTTGTTCTCCCTTTCCTTTCCTAAGATAAAGACGTGTTGTACTAGCATGTGCTATTACATGTCCACCAATTGGTTTTTTTGGATCAACAACAAACATAGCACCTCCTCCTGGATCACTCATTACTTGATTTGTAATTACAACTGCAACATTAAATTCTTCACTAATTTTAATTAATTTATTCATCATTTTTCCTAATTTTTGTTGTCTTTCACTTAATTCTCCTCTTCCTGAAAAATCAACTCTAAATAGAGAAGTTACACTATCAATAATAAGTATTCTAAAATGATCTTCTGCCATTCTTGCTGCAACTTCAATTAATAAATCAAATTGTTGTTCATGAGTATATGCTCTAGCAATTAATATATTATCTAAAACTGCTGTTTGATCAACTCCAAATCTTTCTGCAATTTGTGTAATTCTTTCTGGTCTAAATGTTCCTTCAGTATCAATATATGCTACTTTTCCATTTCCTCCTTTTAAATGTGATGGAAGTTGAGTTGTTACAGCTAATGTATGACATAATTGTGTTTTTCCTGTTCTAAACTCTCCAAACATTTCTGTAACACTCATTGTTTCAATTCCTCCACCAAGTAATTGATCAAATTGACTACTACCTGTTGTAATTTTAATAACATTAGCTCTTCTTTCTAATGATGTTGTTGCACTTATAAATGAATGTGTAGGAAATATTTTAGAAACTGCTTCCATAATTTTATCTACTTTTGAATCAGAAAATCCACGAATACTACATAATTCTTTACGAGTATGCATAACAACAGATTCAATAGTATTACAACCTGCACTTTTCAATTTATTAATATCTCCAACATTAATTCCTTGTTGTTGAAGAATATCAATTGAATGAAATGATGGAACTTCTTCAATTTCATCTTCTTCAATCTCTTGAACATTTTCTTCTTGTTCATTAATTTTATTTTTCACTTCACTCATTTAATCTATAAATGATTTATTTCTTTCTTTATATCTCTACTTCTCTTATAGTTCTGACTTTTCATGTTAATTATTTCTTCACCAAATCTTTATTATTATTTATTTATTACTTTCCCATTTTCTCAGTCTTTTATCATGTAATTTTTTATTTAAAAAATATTGAAAAATAAACTTCATTAACTTTTATTGACTTATCTTATCTTCAATGACAAGATACTATCCTGTTCTTCGTTATGGTTTACTTGGAAATACTTTTGGGAGTGATGCTATATTCATTCCACAAACTCTTTATCAATCTTTTGCTCAAAATTCTAAGAATGAACGAATTTTCGTTACTTTAAAACCTCCTCGTTTTAATGAAATTGTTCCTGCTGTTGTTGAAGGTCCATCTCCTATTGATGTCATTTTTATTTCAGATAAACTTCTTCCTGGATATGATACTCTTAGTGTTCAATTAGTAGAACTCCAAGAAGTTACATCTATTAAGTTTGAAGCAATGAATATGGAATGTTGTTCATTAAAAAATATTATTGAACCACTTCAATCAGTATTAAAATTTTATTCTACTCTCTATGTTAATGAACTTTTTGAAATTAATGTTTCTAATGAAGAAGACAATGTTCGTACAATCACAAAAGCTCGTGTTGTGATCAAACAATTACAACCATCTAATATGGTTTATATATCCCAACTAATGAAAGATATTAAGATCGAATATGATAATCCTTTTTTATCTAACACCTCTTCTAATCAAAGTTTTATTGAAAATGAAAGTGAAGAAGAAGAAAAAAATACTCAAGAAAATGATACACAGAAAATTACTGCCAAGACTCAAACAAAGAATATTATCAGAGATGAAAAAGTACCTACTCTCAGTGATGAAAGTCATGAAGGAAAAACATTATGCCCTTTTTGTGGATTATGGATTTCTGAAAATAAATTCAAAATTCATCAATCTCAATGTAAAAAATTAACTACAAAATGTCCTGTTTGTGGTACTATAACTCTAAAAGACAAATTACAAGAACATACCAAATTTCACTCAATTGAAACATGTCCTCAGTGTCATATCAAGTGTGAATTATTGTCATTGAATCGTCATATGAATGGAAGTTGCGATAAGAAAGTTATTGAATGTGAGAAATGTGGTTGTGTATTGTTCCAATCAGACAAAAAAATTCATCAAGATTGGTGTGACAAATCAATTCTTGATGTTGTAGATTATGTCAGAAATGAAATTATAGTCAAACGATATGGAGAACCTTCTCAATACTCTGAATTACCTAATAACTTTGATGTTCCATATTCTAGAACTCTAAAAAATCATTCTCAAAGACCTTATCCCCCTCAACTATTTCTAAAAGAAGATCCTATGGCATTTAGTCGTCGTCCCTCTTACCACCAAAATTTCTTAAAACAGAATGACCTTCAGTATCATTTTGATTTTGAATGCTAAGTTACTAAAATGTACAAACAAAAAGACATTGACTCTAATATTTTTCATTTATCACTCTTTTTTCTTTTGCTCTATCTATAAGAAATCTAACACTTCATTTGACATAGAAAAAGAAAACTTGAAGGTGTTTTCTTTTCATACTCTAATATTTAACAGCATAAATATTTTCATTATCTAGAAATCATTGGTGGTGTATACAAAATAACTAATGAAGGTCATTTTATACTAAGAAATTTATTATTTTAATACCACTTTATTCATTCATGACTCTTTCTTTTTAACTAATTATAATTAACTCAATAAGACTGTAAATATTAATTCATTTCATCTATTCACTTCTCTAAACATAACTATCTGTCATTTAAAATAAATATCACTAACAAAAAACTTAAAACATGTCATAAATAACAAGAGAGGAAAAGTATTAAAGAATGGTTAAAAATAACATAGAAAGGTGCATTGTTTGAATAATAATTTAATAAGAGTAATTTTCTATAACACAAACTAAAATTGAAGAATTTAATAAGAAAGGAAACGAAATGGAAGAATTTCAAAAAGAAAATTATTAAAATTAAACAAGTTCTGTTTTTGTTCAATAAATCGAAAAAAAAAGAATGATTAAAATAAAAGTCAGTTGTGCAAAAATTGCATCAAAACGAAAAGAAGAGTAATATGTTCAATAATAATGAATATTAAAGAATTTTAATTGATTTTGGAAATTTCTTAATAATATCATTTAAAAAGAAACAGAAGTTGAATAAAAACTATCTATTCTACTTTAATAGAAATGAATACTGAAAACTATCCTCTAAAAGATTTTCACTATCCATGCAAGTATGAATTAAACAAAGAGAATCCATACCTTCAACCAGAAATGCCACAAGAAGCATTTGACCAATTATATGACAATTTAAAGAAAATGGCAGTAGCTCATTTAAGTAAGTACGATCCAGAACATGCATCAATTTATCAACAAGCATACTTAGATTCAGAGAAGTTGTTTGACCCACAATACAAAATAATTATTAGAGACTTCTTTGTAGGTTTATTTAATCCTGAAGCCCCAATATTTAAACAAACTGTAAGAAATATTGTTGGTAAATTATGTAGTGCAATGAGATTCTATGAAGAACGTAAAATGTATAAAGATGAGTTGGATAAAATTGAGATTAAAAATCCAATGTTTATTGTATCTTTACCTCGTAGTGGTTCAACTTATCTTCATAATTTATTATCTACTGATCCTCGTGCAAGTGGTATTCGTTTTTGGGAACATATCTTCCCAGGAAGTAAAACTATGAACAGGGAAGCAAGAAGACAAATGATAACTGATATTTTAAATCAAGTTCAAGGAGAATCTAAAGAATTAAATAAAGTACATAACCTTGATAGTGTGGATAATTTTGAAGAAGAGGCTTTCTTTATGGAAATGATTGGACAATGTTTCATTATGACAGGTGCACTTCCAAGATTGGAACAATATCGTGTTCATTTATATGAACTTGATTTTCACTACGTTTATGAAGCTCTTATGGATGAATTAAAAATGCACCTAGTTGAATTTCCATTAAAAGACAATGACTGTTATTTATGTTTGAAAGGGGTTAATCATTTTGCAACAATGGCTCCTATGTTAGATGTATGTGGAAGAAAAGAATATAATGCCAGATTTATTTGGATTCATAGAGAACCAGTTGAACAAATTAAATCAATGGTTATATTAATGAATGTAGCTAAAGGAAGATTTGAACATGATTTAGGTAAAGATGATATGGTATGGTTAAATGAAAATGTAATTAAAGTGAATGAAATTATTTTGAGAAACTCTATTGCAGCACGTGATGAATATATACGTCAAGACCCAACAAGAGCAAAACAATTTTTTGATGTTGGGTTTGTTGAAGCAGTAACAAAACCAAAAGAAACGGTGAAGAAAATTTATGATTACTTTGGCATTGAAATAACTCCAGAAGCTGAGAAACAATTAGAACTTACCATCAAAGAAAGAGATCCTCAAAGAAAACATGGAAGAAAACCACATGATGAAAGTCTATATCATTTTGATGAAGATAAAATCAGAGAACAATATAAATTCTATTATGATCGATTTGGACAATACATGCCAAACTTTTATAATAAAAAATAAATCAATCATTTATTTCCTTTTCTTGTTATAGATTTATTTTTCTATTAAACCAAAACTTGGTTTAAAGTGATCTTAAAAATTTTAATCAATGAGTGGAACTGTTATTTATTCATCAAGTATTTGTGGTCTTGAAATGAGAACACACACAATTAACTTAAAAAATTTAATGGAAATTTTAACTAAAAAAGAGGTGAAAGTTATATATATTGATAAAGATCCTGAAGCTAAAAAATTTATGTTTTCTAAAACTGAATTAAGAGGGGTATTCCCATTGTTGTTCCATAATGACAAATTTATTGGAGCATATGAGGACGTTGTAGATTTGTCTGAACAAGGACTTCTCTTACAACAATTGAATTAACATATTAAACTAAAAAATCATTCGTTCATCCTTATCGGTTGTCTACTTTTTCTTTCTTCCTCTTTTTTTCGGTACATCAGTTGGAATAATTGATTCTTGAGGTGTTTGCATTGTCTCAATCTTCTTTTGACAATTTTGCAATTCTTCATCTGTATTTTTTAAATCAACACATAACGTATTAAACCGTTCTTTTTGCTCTTCAATCCTTTGAGTAAGTAATAATTCTTTCTGTTTTAGGTGCTCAATTTCATTATAATCAATAGTGTCATGAATTTTTGTTTGTTCTTTCAAGTCTTTAATTGTCTGAAGTATTTTCAAGATTGAATCCTTTTTCTGTTTTAATTCTTGGTCAGTTTTTTCAGCTAATATCATTGCATCTTCAAAATTTTTTAATATCGATTGGATTTGTTGATTCCAATTCTTTTTAGCTTGGTATTCTTTTTCATGTTGTTCTATTAAGTTTTTCTTTTTTTGTTCAATTTTATTCTTAAGGCATTGATGCTCTTGGTTTGTTTGTTTCCATTCATTTTCAATTTGTTTCTTTTTGTCTAAAAAATTGAAGACTTCAGTTTTTAGCACTTTCAGTGTTCTTTCCATTACATCTCTTTTTTTTAATTTCATTTTTAACAGTCTTTTATATCTTTTTTCTTTCTATTCATCTTAAAATCCTCTCAGAAAAAAAGACAACATAAATAATATCCACAATCATGAAAGGTTAATAAAAGTGTACTCATTCAGAAGAAAAAAATTTTTTTCTTTAATTTATATCTTTTCGATAATGGCGTACCAGTTATCTCGTTCATACCCACATGATATTAATTTGCAATCTTTTACTTTTTCAATTACTTGTTCTAACTCTCCCTTGATAAAAACATGGTAATATCTTTGGTATACTTCTTCTGGTTGATTTGGGTTGTTTGGATCTTTTTTCTTTGATAAATGCCAAGCAACCATTAAGTCTTGTCCTTCTTCATTTTCAAATTTTTTCTGCTCTTTTGCCCAAACAGTAATTAAAGCTTTTCCACCAACTTTAATCGTTCGTATAATTTCTTGGATTGCTGCAACTCTTCTTTCAAAAGTAGAGAAATGATGAACAACAGCAATACTAATTGCTGCATCTCCAGAGTTAGATTTTACTGGAACATATAAACCATCAGCCTGTATATTTTGACTTTTTTGATTATGGAGGGCTTCCATTAATAAATTATGGCAAGGATCAAATCCTATCACAGTAATGTGATGATTGATATTGTGGTACTTCCCATTTCCACTTCCAATATCATACACTATAGAATAATTTTCTAGTCCGTTAAGAAATTCTTCGACTTTAGGCCATCCTTTGTACCGTGTCTGTGAAAAATGTTGAGCTATAATTTCATATACTTCCCTAACATTCTTTGACTCAATCTCAGGTAACTTTTCATTATCCATGGTTATTTCTTTGAATTTTCTTTTTTTAGGTTTCATATTTTCAAGTTCTTATAATTTATAATTCTTTTATGTTTATTCAACTTCTATTATTCGGTTAGCATTTAAACATATTTACAATGGTATATCCATGCATCGGTCAATTCAAATAATCTTCTCAAAGAACAAACAGATTTTGTGTTCGTTCCTTATAAAAAATAACAAATAAATTAAACGACTAGTCATCAAGTAAAGGAATATTATCAAAAATAAGACTGGACAATAACTAAAATCAAACAAAAAATGATTACATTATTTAGAAAATATCATACAATGGTATGTTATAATGAAAAATTAAAAAAAAAAGCAGAGATAAAAAGATAATACCAAGACCTCAATAAAAAGAATAGTACTAATTGGGTGAATTAAAAAATCATGAAAAAATCTACTACAGATAAAAGACACTTGTAGGAGTTGTCTGTATAAGTAAAAATTGGAGTTTTAATATATAGATTAAAACAGATTTAAATAAAGAAAAAAATTAGAATCAGTTTACCAAATATGAAATATAAAAAATTTGTCATACTTAAAAACAAAAGAAAAATTAATTTGTATTGAAACATTAAATTTAATAATACCAGAAGTTAAAACAAAAAAAAAATAATGGTAATTATAAAAGTTTTGAATTTATTCAATTAAATATCATTTTTATGATGGACCAATAATGAACATTTAAAATAGAGTATTTTAAGACAAAAAACAAGTTAATAATAAGAACTATTTTTCATAGAAATGATGAATAAATTATTGACTTAACAAGTACAGTAATTTACTAATAAAACTAAAGAAGGTAAAGTTGTGGAGATATGAGATATTAATAGCCAAAATATTATAAAAATATAGAGCAATAATTAAACAGTTCATAAAAGAAGATTTGAATAAATAATTTAATATTTTGTTATTGATAAATTTTTTGAAACTATAACAAAAAAAGATATAAATTTTTTAACCCTTTTGTGTTTTCTTTTTTTTTTTTTATAGAAACAAAACTAACTTAATATTAAACAAATGAATTCTTTCCAAACTAACTCCCCTACACCAGAAGTATCACCGTATTATATGAACAAATACCTTCATACAGAACAACCATTTCCTGATAACTATATTGAAGATTGGTTTTTAGAGGGGATGCGAGTGAATTATCATTTAGATGTGTTGCCATTAAAAGATATTGTAAAAGAGTCATTGGCATTATCACAACAAATATCAACGGTAATTATGTATATGTGTATTTTTCTACTTACTGCAAAAGAAATGCTTTCAGTTAGAGGAGTGTATGTTGCTGATATTATTTTATTGTCGATGTGTTTCTTATCATGTATTCCATTAAAAATATCACCAACAGTATTTTGTGGGTGGAGGTCAATTATTATATTTGGGACAGTGTGGGGATTAGTTCCAGTAATATCAACAATAACAACAGGTTATTATCCAGATAGTATTTATATATTATCAACGGTATTATTTATTATTCATATTTGTTTCTTTGATTATGGATATATCAATAATTATGTTGATGAAATTAATGGAGTTTTATCATACAATGCAGTATTATTAGCATCTATTGTATTAGCATCTATATTACCAAAGAATGCAATGGTATTTCCATTAATTAGTTTGTCTATAATATTATTTGAATTTAACCCATTATTTAGACATTATCTATTAGTTTGTTGAAGTATTAAATTTTTATTTCATAATTTTATATTTCGCTTATCTCTTAGAAAAAGTCTAAAAATATGTATTTTTTGTATTCCATTCTTCTTTTTATTGCAACATTTTGTTTCTGTTTTATGCTTTCATTTTGGTTTTCAATCGTTTATTTATTCTGCGTTTCTCTTGGCACTTATGTAGGACCGAAATTTTGGTTAAAAATCCAATCATTAAAAACGTTTGTTTAATTTTTTCATTCTTTAAAATAGAAGAATTATAAATATTTATTTTTTTAGTGAGGTTAGTGGTGCTTGGGATGAGGCTGTACCATCTACACAATAAAATTTTTGAGTTATTCAAATTGGTATGTAAATTTGAATGTTTTGATTGAACAAACAAAATTTATTAAATTTGTTTTTCAAGAAAACAGAAGATAAATTAACTTATTTTTGATTCTTGTATAATAATTTGATATTTTTTCAATTTTTGTTAAAACTACTTTTAATGGCTTTATACTATACAATAATTCTTTCTTGTTTTTATTCTTTGAAATAGTTGTGTTCATTAGAAATTGTAATACACTCTTTTCATTAATTATAAACCTACACGTAGAAAGAAAAATTAGTTTATCCTTATTATTAAATAAATATAAATAATATAATCATTCCATTGTAATATTTGTATTTTCTGGAGTATAAAAGTTATTTCTTATAACAATCTATTATTCTTTCAAATATAACTGTAAAATAAATTTTATTTATATCGTTTATTTAAAAATAACAGTTTTTTATTTTTATTCTAAAATTAAAGAAAAAATTTACTTTTATAATAAAAATAGACAAAAATTCATTTAAATTAATATATTATATTCTTAAAATTTTTAATTTTTTTTTGTTATCTGTTAAATAGTA